ATATCCCCATAGGTTAGGCAAAGAAGAAGGGTGAGGAAAGAAAGATGGCAGCGGGATGTATATGAGTGTACATGCCTTCTTGTCCTGGTGTTTGGGTCAGCAGGTGAGTAAAGTATTAGCAGGAGGTGATGAGAGCAGAAGTAGGGAGATTGTAGAAGTGAGGGTGAGATGTATAAGCTTTGGGGTGGAGCAGAGTGGTAAAAAAAAATTAGATTTTGAGAACAGAGGATAGTAATATGGAAAGGAGGATTAGAGGGGGCATATTAAAAGGTATATGGAGTGGTAATCAGACTTGTAGGAGATGTTACCCAGGGTGTTTGCTTGCAGTCCATCCAGTGTGCAGTAGTGTTCTTTGCTGTATCTTCCTGCTGCTTGAGTTATCCTGCTTTAGCTAAACTGCTCTGTTCAACTGCTGTTTTGCACTCCAGCAGAAAATGCACTCAGGACAATGCCCCCTCTGCGACTGTATTCCCCCCCCCCCCCCGTCTCTGACCTCCCCCATAAGTTGGTCTAAATTTATAGGGAGATGATCAAATGAGCAATTCTCCTCCACCCCAATTAGGAACTGATACAAATCACATGAATTTGTGGGGAGGTTGGTCAAAACCAGGTCAGACACATACACAGGCCAGGGTCATAAAAGATGATTGATTCTCTGATCACAGAAAGGCAAAAGGAGGTGAAAGTCAGTGCGTAGCAATGAGACAGTTTAGGGTGGTGCTAACTTACTGCATGACTGTCCAGGGAAGGTAGAGAGAGAGGTGCAGACTGCTGGAGGTGAGATGAGCTGGATCAATGAGACCAAGGAAAAAGGTGAAGTGACCCAGGAAGAACATTCTGAGGACGGGAGTGAGCTTAGAAGTATGGCAGTGATTAATAGTTGCAGGAAGGAAGAGAGATACAGTGGGGCAAAAAAGTATTTAGTCAGCCACCAATTGTGCAAGTTCTCCCTTTTAAAAAGATGAGAGAGGCCTGTAATTGGCATCATAGGTAGACCTCAACTATGAGAGACAAAATGAGAGAATAAATTCAGACAATCACATTGGATGATTTGGAAAGAATTTATTTGCAAATTATGGTGCAAAATAAGTATTTGGTCAATATGAAAAGTTCATCTCAATACTTTGTTATATATCCTTTGTTGGCAATGACAGAGGTCAAACGTTTCCTGTAAGTCTTCACAAGGTTGGCACACACTGTTGCTGGTATGTTGGCCCATTCCTCCATGCAGATCTCTAGAGCAGTGATGTTTTGGGGCTGTCGCTGGGCAACACGGACTTTCAACTCCCTCCAAAGGTTTTCTATGGGGTTGAGATCTGGAGACTGGCTAGGCCACTCCAGAACCTTGAAATGCTTCTTACGAAGCCACTCCTTCGTTGCCCGGGCGGTATGTTTGGGATCATTGTCATGTTGGAAGACCCAGCCACGTTTCATCTTCAATGCCCTTGCTGATGGAAGGTTTGCACTCAAAATCTCACGATACATGGCCCCATTCATTCTGTCTTGTACATGGATCAGTCGTCCTGGTCCCTTTGCGGAGAAACAGCCCCAAAGCATGATGTTGCCACCCCCATGCTTCACAGTAGGTATGGTGTTCTTTGGATACAATTCAGCATTCTCTCTCCTCCAAACACAACGAGTTGTGTTTCTACCAAACATTCCTATTTTGGTTTCATCTGACCATATGACATTCTCCCAATCCTCTTCTGGATCATCTAAGTGCTCTCTAGCAAACTTCAGACGGGCCCGGACATGTACTGGCTTAAGCAGGGGGACATGTCTGGCACTGCAGGATCTGAATCCCTGGCGGCATAGTGTGTTACTGATGGTAGCCTTTGTTATGTTGGTCCCAGCTCTCTGCAGGTCATTCACTAGGTGCCCCCCGTGTGGTCCTGGGATTTTTGCTCACCGTTCTTGTGATCATTTTGACCCCACAGGGTGAGATCTTGCGTGGAGCCCCAGATCGAGGGAGATTATCACTGGTCTTGTATGTCTTCCATTTTCTAATTATTGCTCCCACAGTTGATTTGTTCACACCAAGCTGCTTGCCTATTGCAGATTCAGTCTTCCCAGCCTAGTGCAGGTCTACAATTTTGTTTCTGGTGTCCTTCGACAGCTCTTTGGTCTTCACCATAGTGGAGTTTGGAGTGTGACTGTTTGAGGTTGTGGGCAGGTGTCTTTTATACTGATAACAAGTTCAAACAGGTGTCATTGATACAGGTAATGAGTGCAGGACAGAGGAGCCTCTTAAAGAAGAAGGTACAGGTCTGTGAGAGACAGAAATCTTGCTTGTTTGTAGGTGACCAAATACTTATTTTCCACCATAATTTGCAAATAAATTCTTTCCAAATCAGCCAATGTGATTGTCTGGATTTTGTTTCTCAATTTGTCTCTCATACTTGAGGTCTACCTATGATGCCAATTACAGGCCTCTCTCATCTTTTTAAGTGGGAGAACTTGCACAATTGGTGGCTGACTAAATACTTTTTTGCCCCACTGTAAGTCGCAAAATTGGAGTGACTGATACAGCGGTACATTGTGTATATGAGGGAGAGAGACAGTCAATCTTGTCAGGCAGGAAAAGAGGCAGAAGCTCCCTGGTCGCCCCCTTTACCATAGATTAAAACAGCACCAGGCAGGGTCTTCACTGAGGGTCAATGCTTCCCTTCCTTCTGTCTTGGGTCCCCCCCACAGTGGCAGAACTCAAGGGCCCGGTCACAAGTGCGACCTTTGCGAGCCTGGTAGTTCTGCCACTGGGTCCATCCAAATGATAGGCTGTCTCACTGGCTGAGGAGATAGGAGGGGGAAAAGCATGCTTTGCAAGTGTCAGAACTGTAGAAGCTTTGCTTGTTAGAATGGCCCAGAATTCAGCTGTAACAGAAGGGAAATTGAAGCTTCAGGTATGTGCATGTTGCTTGCATCTTATACCTGCAGTAATATCTTTTGTAAAAGCTAGTTCTAGATTTTGAACAATAAATAAATAAATAAAAATAAACTCACATTTTTAGGAAATAAAAATGTGCAGCTATTATTTTTTTTTTTTTTCAAATGAGCTTGCAAAGCTTTGCAATTGTGATTAGTGGCTAGGAGGAGCAATCCACAGATTCCTGCAGACTCCTTCTCTAGCTCCATGTCTGTACCAAGGTACAGACTTTCATTTAGAGAGCTGGAAGAAGTATCAATGGACTACGAATGCAGTGATCACCACATTTGTGTTCCATTGTAACTAAAAGGTCATCTGCTGCAGAAGATGAAACATGCAGTTTATTTATTCACAGATCTTTGTCATCATAGCCATGCAAAAATCAAACCTGACATTTGCTGCCTGAGGGAAGAACCTCCGTATGCTGTCAGGTGGTGTTGGCTTGGCACCATGTTACACCATAACTATGGGTGTGATATGTACATTTCTCTAAAAGGTGGAGCTAGCCTTTAAAGAATCCCAACATATCTAGGATCCATTCAATGTCATGAAAAATAAACACCAAGATTATGGTACAGTTTCAACAATTTTTTTTATGCAAACGGGACATTAGGAAAGAAACCAGAAATTACCCGTGGATGTTATAAATTTTAAGATTTTTAATGCCCCATGGTCGGGGATTGTAAGATGCACAGACACAGGATAAGGTACTGGTAACATAAACAGACAGGGGGTCAGAACAATCAGGTGTTAATCAGAGTTCCAAGGAGGTTGCTACACACTCATTCAAAATGAGGAAAGTCCTCTCCATTCAAACAAACCACATTACCTAACACTTTCCTCTCTAGTCAGTAGACCCTGCAGTATAAAATAAACAAAATGCTTCCAACCTCCTTTCATTAAAGTGCACTCTGAACCCCTGATATACCAGCCCTGGCCAGAAATATTTAAAATACAATTTAAAAAAAAAAAAAAAAAAAAAAAAGCTTATATAGATAAAAGCTAAAATATTTTACTAACAAGTCAAATAGTGCACTATAGAGTGAGACAGAGATTCCCCATTGCCATCCTTCTACAGGGATACACATAGCTCACCCGCTCCTTCAACCAATGGAAAATGAAACCAAGGAAGAATGTAATGGGGAACCTGATTGTGTAGGCTGCTGTGCACTTCTCCGCTCTGTACAAAGAAACCAGAGGAATGCGGATCTCTCTGTTAGGACCTCGCAGATATGAAACTATGAAATGACCTCATACCCAGTCAGTGCAGGAGGCATCACCCTGAATGCCATTATCTGGAAGAGATATGCTTTCTCTGCACGGGTAACAACAGATGCAAAGATGCAACAAGAAAAACGCAGACTCCTCTGGAATACCAGGAAAGAGTCATCAACAACTGAAATACCAAGTGAACCAGATTTGTCAGCAATGTATATGTATTAAACTCTGCTGCCCGAGATCTGAAGTCATTATTCCGGAATTGTACTGGAATGCAATCTCTACCATTGCAGCAGTGCTAAATTCACCCACAGCTGATCTTATAGAAAAACAAAAATAAAATGTATTTTCAGCTCTGTCATTGGAGTCACCAGAGTCTGGAACGTAGTTCTATCAGCAGCGGAAATGACACATCATCTTTTGACTTCTTTAGATGTGTTTCTCGTAAGAAGGTCCATGTGAGCTGCATCAGTTCCCATTCAGTCCATCAGCTCATTTGTCTTTTCCCATGTTTAATTATAGGCACACAGTCCTGCTTTGCTGTGCACTACTTTTCCACACTCCCCAGCCGAGACAGGGGTAACAATGGAGCCTGAGTGTGCTATAGTCTCCTTTTGTTCCCTTACAGATACCTTTCTGTAGACCTGACCAGTCAACAGCTGAGGTCCAGGTCACTGATGACATAAAATGAAGAAAAGTCATGACACAAAGGGATATTGTGTTCCTGGAGAGCTCAATGTGTGGTTCTAAGCCTGGGTGGGGGGTCTGGATCCAGAAAGAAGTGTATGAAATACAATTCCACAATCGTTCAGTTTTCTTCCCTGATCTGTATCCCCCCACAACAAAAGAGGTCCCAATGTTACTGTTGGGCTGGGGGGACTGTGCTTCCCACTGATTCCGCAGGCTGGTGGGATGTTGCAGGATCTGGAATAAAGGAACACAGTAGATATCTGAAAATGCTGCCTCAATGTACAAATCATCAAACTAAACAACATGAGAAAGAGCTATAGGAAAAAGAAGTTTGAAAATGTGCTGTCATATCAAGAGTGACTCTGTTCTCCTGACGAGTTACTGGGGCTAATTGTGGAAAAACTTCAGTTTTGTTCTTGGCTTTCTATTACCACTAATTTAGACATCAACCCCAATGCCAAATAACACATTATAAGAGATTTTTGTTTCAGGATAGAAATAATTAATTCAACAAAAAAAACAAATGCTGAATCAATATTCACAAGAATCAAATGGGTTTGGTGGTGTACAATGTGACTAAACATTTCTAGAAGTCCCAAATGAACGTAAGGCAGAAACCATCCAAACACGGTCATAGCAGAAGGCAAAGAAAAGCATCTAAAGGAGAAGGGGGAGGTGATCTTTGTATCTGAAAGGATGGCCAATTCTTAAGGAGAGCTGCATTGTTACTGCTCCCTCCTGTGGCAGACTTAAAAGTGAACGTACATTGAAGTTTATTTGTGCATGAATTGTAGGGGAAAAAAAAAAGATACACTAAGAACTGAGTTCTGTAAGAAAGTTCCAGAATTCTTTAGAATAGAATTAAAATTTTCTTTATGATTTCTATTACTACTTAACAATTTTTTAGATTTTTATTTTTAATTACTCCACTGGCTCTTAAAGGATAAGTTCACCTTTTCAAAGAAAATAATACATGCACATTTTTTTGCAGGTAAAAAATATGCAATTATTATTTTCTGTCTAAGAAGCCTGCAGAGCATTGCACCCGTGACCAGTAGAACGCAGGTGTAACCTCAGGCCCCTGCAGATTCTCAGGAAAGCTGTCTGCCTATACGTTTTAAGAGCAGGCAGGTACTTGAGAGCAGGAAGATCAATGAACTACAAGAGCGCTCACCAGCAACCTGGTAGTTCATTGAATATTGGGTACCTGTAGGCATTCATTCACAGGAAATTATGAATGAATGATGTGGCCATGTGAGCAGAGAGGCTGCAGATGCTGGAACATGTAATAAGTTCCAAAGGTGAACTTATCCTTTAACCACTTGCCTACTGGGCACTTATACCCCTTCCTGCCCAGGCAAATTTTCAGCTTTCAGAGTTGTCACACTTTGACAATTGAGCGGTCATGCAACACTGTACCCATATGAAATTTTAATCATTTTTTCACACAAATAGAGCTTTAGTTTGGTGGTATTTAATCGCCGCTGGGTATTTTATTTTTTGCGCTATAAACAAAAAAAGAGCAAAAGATTTGAAAAAAAAATGTTTTTCTTTGTTTCGAATATAAAATTTTGCAAACAGGTAGTTTTTCTCCATCACTGATGTGCATTGATGAGGCTGCACTGATAGGCAACACTGATGGGCACTGATTAGATGGCATGGATAGGCAGCACTGATGGGCACTGATAGGAGGCACTGATGATGCTGCACTGCTGGGAAGCACTGATGGACACAGGTGGGTGGCACTGCAGGGCACAAGTGGGCAGCACTGATGGGCAAAGGTGGGTGGCTCTGATCATCAGTTCCGATCCCTTCGTTGACAATTGCAGATTCTCGGCAGTACTTTCCTCACGCTGTGACAGTGTGAGGAAAGTGCAGCCGATAACCGGCAAATGTATTTACTCAGTGATCTGCTGTGTCATTGGACACAGCTGATCACGTGGTAAAAGGACACAGTGATCACCGGCGGTGCCGGGTGCGCGCCGCAGGGGCCTGCAGGGGTGGCGTGTTCTGGAACGACATCCATGGATGTCGTCCCAGGATTATACAACCGCGCTGTAGCCGTCCTTTGGCTATAGCGCGGAGGGGAACCAGTTAAAGATTGATCGATGTATTGTATTCCTTATCTCTTCTGAAATGTAAGTATTAGTCAGTACTTTGGAGAGATTTCCTTTCACTTCTCATTATATCTTAAGGACAAGAAGTGAAGAAAAATATACCTAATGGCACAGCAAATATATAAATAATTAACTGGCAGGGGGTTTAAACCTACTCTAATCAAAACTGAAAAAGTTGACTATACATAATAAGTGTTTTACTTTATTTTTAAAATTAATTGCTAAAAAAAAAAAAAAAAAAAAAAGAAAAGCTGAAGGAATAATCTTGCTACAATGTATTTGTCAATAAACGCCTACAAACACTGTTTGTAGGCTCCATGAAAGTAATACTAAAGGCTTGAATTTTATTTTCTAAAATAAAAAAAGAGGTTTATACTTACCTGCTCTGTGCAATGTTATTGCACAGAGCAGCCCCTTACCTCCTCTTCTGGGATCCCCCATCTGTGCTCTCTGCTCCTCCATGCACCCCATAGCAAGCTCCTAGCTATGGGGGCAAATGTGTGGGCATGCTGCCAACCTAGGCTGTGTGTATTCATAGACACACACACAGCATGTCTCGTCCCCACCCCCTGCTCATTTCTCACAGGATTTGATTGACAGTAGCAGGAGCCAATGGCTCCCTTTGCTGCTTCTATGCCTGTGTGAGCATGGAGAGAGAACAGCACTGCTGCAGACAGGCACAGCACTGGATCAATACAGGACTCAGGTAAGTATTTAGGGAGGGGGGTGGTAGAAACAGCTAGTGGAAGGTTTTTTACATTAATGCAAACCTTTTGGCTTTAGAACCACTTTAAAACAGGTGAAAATGTCTGTGCCTCTGAGATACAAACGTATCTAGAGTAAGTTTGTAGATAATACATGTAGGTTTTTTTTTAATATAATTGTGCATTTGCTTGATACACAGATCTCTGTACAATATATTCAACTGACACATGCATATAGTCATTTATATGACACTTCAAGGAAACATACAATGAAAGCAATTCTGGAGGCTGCCAATATTAAGCTAAATGTTTCCTAAACATGCTAGATGCCTGTCTGTCATGCCAATTCTTTGGCTTCAATACCTTGTTTAACAAATGCTAATCCCAAGTCCTGATTCAGGCTTGTTCTATGTCAATGGCTCAAAACCTAGACAGGAAATTAGCATTTTCAAAAGATCAGAATGGCAGCCCACATCTTTTTTCCTTGATGATAAATAGAATATCTATATAAAATAATGCTGTTACCTTGTAATAATACCACACCATGACAGGTTTATGTATTATTATACTTACAGGATGTCCAGTAGTTTGCCTAAAACATGGTACCCAGAATAAATTTTAAAACTTACAAATAAGTTTACCTTGTCTACTTAGCTCACCTGGCACAGGACTGGTTGTGATGGGAGCCCCTCCCTGCATTGCAGCTACGATCGCAGGGCTGTGTGTGGCAGCTGACCCCAGGGAAGACGGCAAGTTAGGAGGCGTTGAAGATATGGCAATGGAAGGATTATGTGGGAATGGGGGAGGTCCACCGACCCGACATGCTGCAGGAGGGAAGGAGCCATGCATGGGAAGGGGCACTGTATAGGGGTTAGTTGGTGGGTTCTGATGAGCAGAATCAACTAAGTCACTACCCATATTAAATGGTACAGGCAAAGGCATGCTGGGGTGCTGATTACCGGGCACCGGAGGCTGGGCAGGAGCAGGTACTGCTGATGGGATCATGGGGTTGGGTGGTGGTTGACCTGTATACGAACCAGAACCTGCAGGAAAGGAAAGAAATCACAGTTGTCCATATTAATTACTAGATTCCACACAACATGCACATAATGTTAGACATACACAGCTCGAATTTCAGCCAATTCCTACCGAACAAGCCAAAATTTAAACAAAGGGTTGCCCCAGTTGGCAGCACCTTGACTCAACAAATGGCAAAAAAAAAAAAAAAATTTAAGGAGCAGAGTGAAAAATTGTGAGCTGAACAGTGACTTTCACTGTTCTGGCATCCTGACAGCCAGGGGTGTCAGCGACTGTCAAAAAATAATAGCCAGCAGGGGAGCATCCTCCATCCCTGCCGTTTACACACCAAACTGAGCATGTGCATGTGAAAACGGATTCAGTCTGTATCCGGTGGTCATTTCAACAAGAGGAGGGGCAGAGAAGAAAGGATCAAACAGCCTTTTTACACAATGCAGAGGATTAACCCCTTAGGTTCCACAGTGAGTATAACAAGCATGCTTTACTGCATATACAGACTGATTTTACTGTTGTGGGTTTAGTAACACTTTAAGCACAAATATCTCAACCATAGGAGGCACACAATTATTTTTAATACACAGCATTAGGATCCTCAGCATAAAACAACAAAAGGTGGAAAAATATGGCAATAGGTTGTCTATTACTTAGATTGTAATGAACTAAATTGAATAATCTTTCCATGTCTGAAATGATGCAAATCTCCAAGTCCAGTTATGTCCTGGGCTGAATACTGCTTTTCTATCAATAACTCTCAGTGAATGCTAACTACTGCAGCAAGTAGTGTAAGGATCTGTACAGTCCGGGTAGACTCGTTCCTCAAAGGAAACTTGTTCAGAATAAAATATGGGGAACTTGCCAATGCTGACCTCCCCACTAAAATGTTAAATGGCTACATTACTTTCTTAGTCACTGAATGGGAGGACAGGCATACAGAAAACAGTAGAGACATGGAGTCAGCACTGAAGCCAGAAGGTTAGCATGACTGCCAGTCAACTACCATTTTTAGAAGACAATCAGCTGGGGTAAACCTCCATGTTTCTTTCATGACAGGCTTCCTGTAAGTATCGGCAACATTGCAGCTGACACTTACCTGAGTAGAAATTAATTTAATTGAACATTGAAATTAAAAATGAAACACGTTTTATCTCAGCTCAGTATTCATGCTGTAAAGATGCTTTCACATTGAGTATGTGAAATTATAGGTCTCCTTTAAAATAAATCATAGTTTACTTTGCCACATATAGTAGGAAAACACAATTAAATTGTGACTATTAATTTTACACATATCAAAATATACGGACTCTTGGAAGTTGATTAATGAGATGCAGCTCACAGATCATTAACTGTACAAAGATTAGGGATACAAAGTAGGGATGCACCAATACTGTTTTTTCCCCGGCGAGTATGAGTACCAATACGTGTACTCAAGTACTCGCCGATACCAATTACCGATACCATTGCAGTGTGATTTGAGCCCATACAAAATGAACAATTTAAAACGCACTGCAAAGAATAGCATGCAATTTGAACAGGAATGCGGTTTCCCTCACCTCTCCTGTGTAAACCCATGATGAAGTCATTATTATGACAAGCTTGGGTTCACACAGGAGCGGTGCGGCAAACCACATGCGATTCGGACAGGAATAACACCGCATTTCCTGTTCAAATCGCATGCTAGTTTTTGCAGTGTGCTTTGAGCCCATTCATTTTGTATGGGCTAAAATTTGCTCCGCAAAAGGTATCGGTTTTAGATATCGGAGCATTTGCACAAGTACAAGTACTCGTGCAAATTGCTTGGCATCAGCACTGATACTGGTATCGGCGAAATCCTAATAACAAGTCAAAAAAGCTAAGTAGCACAACACTGTCATATAGAAATATGAATTCTATGCAAACTTTAAAAATACTTCACTTCCTTGTTGTTATGGAGACAGGATGTAAAGCGAAATTTCTCCAACATTAACACAGACAACAATAAAGCATTCACTAATGGAAGGAGCCAGACCAAAGAATTAAAGGGTCTAAGTTCATTTATTTGTTTATACAGGAAAAACAGCCAATGCATTTCTAGGGTCAGGAAACACCCCTCTTCATCAGGGCTTCAGTTAAAATAGGAACCTTGAATGGACTCCTGTGTTAATCTGTGTAGGGAAGCGAACTTCTAGATCAGGAGAGTTACTGACTCTTATTGGTGGAGCAGTGAAGGGTTAAAACCTCTGTCAATTATTATTGCTGTGTCCCATCATGAAGATCTTTCCTCAATTACTATGTGATCACTGATCACTAGGACAGTGCAGGTTAACCTACCAAACCCGGACATGGGCAGCAATAACTCTTCCTATCTCAACCAAACAAAAAATGTTCTTCAAACAACTCCAAAAAAACAGAAGTTCTTACTAAGAATGGCGGGGGTTTGATCTCTTTTTGGACTGGGAGCATGGTAGCATGTTAGGCAGAACTTATCCTACTTCTGTGATAGGCAGAGCACAGCTTTTTAGCTGATTTTCTGTATCACACACCAAGTTTTCCACATGTTCTTACTTCTACATAAAGCGGTGGTAAACTCGTTTTTGTGATTTTTACCTACAGGTAAGCTTATAACAAATCTTACTTGTAGGTAAAATCAATATCTTCTAAACGTGTACCGTTTAGGAGATATTCCAGCGGGCAGCAGCCAGTGATGTCATCGGCTCATACTCTCTGAAGGAAATGCATGGAACTTTGTGCCATGTGCGGGAGTGATGTAATTGCGGTTCGGCCAATCAGACAGCTGGAGCCTGTGAACCTATAAGGGAGACCAGGTGAAGATGAAAACCCTGTCAGTGGTGACAGCGGGCCGCTGGAGGGCTTCGTTTTAAGGTAGGTTTTTCATAATGTGCTATTATGCGATACTAGCACATTATAATATTGCCTTGCAGGGGGGAGATAAAGCATTTGCAGTTCTAATGCCCTATTGTGGCTTCCCAAGTAAGACCCTTTCAAATGAAAAAACAAATAAAAAGCCAAAATTCAGCCCATTAGTTTGGGGGTTGAGGAAAAAACCTTCCTACTGGGGTCTCAACATTATAGAAAAGCTTAACCACCCACCCCTGCACTGCTCCCGTCCAGCCATTTATGTACATGGGCCAGACGGGAGCAGTGCAGGAGCGGGTTGCCGTTTACAAACGTCCTCTCGCTTCCCTGCTTGTGCGCGCTCCCTAAGAGCGCACAGCACCGCGATCCAGTGTACGCGAACACTGATCGCTGTACGGGTCCTCTGTGTGAGGTCCCGATTATGTGATCACTGATTGGCCAATCAGTGATCACATAAAGAGTAGTAAGCAAGATGTCACTTCTGACATCATTGCTTACTACGTGTGAAATTTGTGAATGATCACGGAGGTCACATGGTACAAGGTTATTCACAACAGCCTTGTACCATGTGAGAAGCTGTGACCAATCACAGCTCACACGGTATTTCTCAATGGCTGCAAGAATACAACCAGAGAGAAGGAGAAATGATTGCTTTTACAGCCTTTATGTGTGTAAAAGCAATCAGTGTAAAAAAAAAAAAAATCTTCATCACCTCCCACAAGTAGTACAGTGTCACTATGGTGACACTGTACTGCTAGGGTGACAGTATGCTAAAAAAAAAAAAAACCCATACATAATAATATAAAAAAACAAAGTAAAAATGTGAAAAATTTATAATTTTTGGTTATAAACTAATTTGGGTTTTTTTTACTAAAAAGATAACTGTATACATTTTGGCTAAGATTTATGAAAAAAAAAAAATTATTTATGTGCAACATTTTATAAGAAAAACACTTTTTTTTCAAAAGTGGTGAATAAATACCACCAAAATAAAGTTTTATCTTTCTAAAAAAAAAAAAATGCTAAAAAATTCATATGGGTACAGTGTTGCATGACCGCGCAATTGTCATTCAAAGTGAGATAGCACTGAAAGCTGAAAATTGGCCTGGACAGGAAGGGGGTAAAAGTGTCCGGACTTGAAGTGGCTAAAGTATGTGATGGGACACAATTTGGACTGGCTTTGTTTCAGTACCAAGCTACTTCTTGATTATCAGTTTATCTGATCACATCCCCAATTAAATGTTCTCCAGACATATTTTAGTCAATAAAATGCATGTGTGAAGGAACATTCCATTACAAGGTAGAACTCTGTATAGTATATAGTGAAAATAAGACAAAAACAAAATGACAAATAAAGCAAGTCACTCACTGTGTGCTGGGCTGGGCTGTGTTCCTCCTTGCTGCTGACTGTTCACTGGTGGCTGTGGTGGGGGTGCAGTTGGCTGTGCCAGTCCTTCTGAACTGCTTGCTGTACTTCCTGATGCAGGTGTTACAGAAGCCTGTGTTACAGGGATGGAATGGGCAGTGGGGGGCACAGGCTGGCTGCCTGGAGGAGTCTGATGTTGCTGCTGGTGTTGGTTCTGAATGTGCTGGAAGTGCTGCTGACGTGCTCTCAGCTCTGCGTATTTTAGCTGTTCCATGTGGAAAGACTGTCTATCCGCTAGAAGCTGCTGCCGCTGATACTCCAGCTATGGAGTGAAATAAACATACAGATATCACTAATTACTCAGTAACCACCTGAAGATCAAGCCTTTTCTGGCACCTTTTGTTTACATGTAAATATCTGTATTTTTTTGCTAGGAAATTACTTAGAATCCCCAAACATTATATATTTTCTTAAATATGGGATAGGCAGAGGCCCCAGAGAATGAAATGGTGGGTGTTGCAATTCTTTAATGACACATGGTATTTGCGCAGTGGTTTTTCAAACAATTTTTTTTTTTTTTTTTAGAAAAAATACACTTTTTTTTTAGTTTAATACACAAAAACACAATATAATATCCAATTGTTTTGTAAAATATAAAGGATGATGATACATTGAGTAAATATATACCAAACATGTCACATTTTACAACTGCTCGTGCAACGGCGACAAACAACGTAACTTTTATTATCCATAAGGGCTTTAAAGCCTTTACAGGTTACCACTTTAGATTTACACAGAAGGTCAGGTGCTAGAATTACTGCCCTTGATCTGACATTCACGGTGATACCTCACGTGTAGGACGATTGCTGTTTGTGTGCATTTGCCTTCCTGCGTGCACGTGGCGGCAGGGTTGCTTTAAAATATTTTTCAAAAATTATTTATTATATTTTTACACTGTCGCTTTAATTTTTTTTAAATCACTTTTATTATTATCACAGGGAATATAAATATCCCCTGTAATAACAATAAGCAATAGTGACAGGTACTCTTTATTGAAAAATCTGGGGCCTATTAGACCTTAGCTCTCCTCTGCCCTTCACAGCATCTGATCACACCAAGATCAGTGTGATCAGATGCTTTGCAAATGTAAAAAATGGCGCTGTTTATGTCCAGCGAAACTGGGAGTGATGAATGCTCATCGCTTCCAGTTTCCAATACCATAGAAATGATCAGAGCTGATCTGGTCTACGATCACCTCTATCGTCAGCCAGCAGCACCAACGACTGGATGAACAGGTGTCCCGATGGGATGGGAGAGACCAAGAGAGCTGCAGAAGATGGAGGGGGGGGGGGGGGGATCTGGGGGAAATCCCCTTTGGCTGCTTGTAAAGGCAATCCAAGTAGCAGCTAGGATTGCTTTTACAACAAAGCTGACCGTGGGCTGAACAAAGCCGCAGGCATCATCCCGGTATAACCACTTGAAGTCCAGCTACGTAGTTTTATTTTATACAAAAGAGTGTTGGTTAAGGGCCAATTCACACTGTTGGGGTAACATACACTCATTAATGTGCACATGTCAAGGCTGTCAAAGCTGCAGTGCACATGAAAATGCACCTTACAAAACGTTGCTTCTATATACATTGCAGCTCACAGACTGGACAAGCACCCACACATGATTAAGCCAACTTGGATGTAGTGATAGAATATTACATTCATGTAAAAATACACACTCACCATTTTTTCAACAGAGTGTCACATATCTATGTGTTGTGGTATGATATATATATGTGTTGGGGTACCATTTGTAACACAAATTGCAGCATATAGCAATGCAGATATACCGTTGAAAGAATATGTGTTGTGGTAAGACGCATTGGCAAGACAGCTGATGTAAATGACTAAGCAACACTAACAACTGCATTCTATGATAAAACACAGATAAGCAAAAAGTATTATTATTATTACACATTTTACTGTTACAATCCATACAGTTTATTTGACAATCTAGACAGGGCATAGAAGTATAATGAAAATGTGTGTAAAGTCACAACTTTTTCTTTGGCTTTGGATAGAATAGAGAAGTGATAAAACCCCTATCAGGTTGCTTTTTGCTGTCTGTGCCCTTCTGGGAGACTTCCCTTCACTTCTTATTTTGAAGACACAACAGAAGTCAGAGGAAAAATGAGAGAAATACCCATCTTAGACCGCTGTCACCAGGACATTTATCCATAGTGCAGGATTTTCCCTCACCCTCTTGCTCTCATGACAAATCCTAAATTTAGGATTTCTTCTTAACTTTCTGTTTTAGCGACAGTGTTTAGCGGAAAGGATGAGCCCCAATTCACACTGTCACATCACCTGTGATTTGCATAGGCATCATGCCGCATTCCTGCACAAATCACATACGATTCTGTGTGGTGCGATTTGAGCCCATCATTTTGTATGGCTCAAATCACACCACATCTGCACAAAAAATGTTCAGGCACCTTTTTTTTGCAGCACTGGAATCGAATCGCATGGGTGTTTATACTCATGCGATCTGATTCAGGCAAACACACTGCGTTCTGCGACCTACTTTTGTGGTGTCGTTAACTTTTAATTGACACCCACAGCAGATTGCAGGAATACAGTGCGATTGCTATGCAGTGCAATGCGGGAAACGCAGAGATTATTCCTCGCATCACATCAGTGTGAACCAGGCCTGAATCTCCGCAGAAGGAAGACAAAAAGCAATAAACATTTGGCAAAAGGGTCTAACCTTTCCTCAATGTATCTAAACTAAAATACACAGTTCTGCTTTTACATACACTTTAAGGAGAAAATGTTAAAATGTTTCAGGACTCACCGCCTCCCGTTCTCTATCCATGATTGTTTCCAGCTCCTCAAAGTGCCTCAGTTTGATTTCTAATTTCTTCATTTGAGTCTCTACCAGCAGAGCCACCAGTGACTTGATCTTGCGTTCCTCAACTGCAGCCAGGTGCTAATTAACGGCACAAAATTATGATTACAAAAAAGTTGCACTTATGCTATTCAAGAGCTACTATTTGGTTCAGACTAAGCTATCTGTGTCTATCAATATACTGAGAAACGACTTTTCCCTGTATGGCTTATGTTTGTTTGCTGGCCAATTAAAGACTTGTAGTTCCTCAGAAACTGTGAGCCTTTAGGTATGTTACTGATGCATGATGTACATACTGTATTAATTCCTCTTAACATTTTTAACATTCTGATAACTGCAAGCTAGAAAGAACATGGCTGTCTTTAAACCATGCCTGTCATATGCCCCCATAACCCCCTTGCCTGCAGAAGAGGCTCTTTCTGTGCCACAGCTTCAGGTACTGCCCGACTCCAATCTGTGCTGCAGTAGTCCATACTTTTGCTTCACTCATCATCCCATCATTCACTATTGTGAAAATAATCTTAACGTCTTTAAGCATTTTACAAACAGACAAGTTATAGGTGGAAAAAAGGCTAAGAATGCATGAATTTCTGGGTCCTCAGGATGTTGGATAAAACTGGGCCAACCAAGGCCAAGTTTATTACTTACTTTAGCCTTCACAGCAGCAGCAGCCAAGGCAGCAGCAGCAGCTGTAGAGAGGTTTCCCTCTCCGATGTCTCTCTCCACCTTGTTTTTCACTGTGGTGTCCTCCTTATCTGTTTCTTCTGATCCTTCTTTACTGTCAGAGACTTTGTCTCCATCAGCTGCAATTAACACAAATACGATTAAATCAAATACACATACATTGGATATGCAAAATTTCATGAACTTGACATACTGTTCTCTCTGTATAATTCTACACATCTATATGACATATGGTTAAAGGGTCAGTCTACTAAATACTGGGTGAGGAGCATGGCATGGGCTGAACAGCCACTGTGGAACATAAAGCCAATTAGCGTGGAGTGAGGCCGCTGTATTTTTTTATTTGTGGTACAATTCAGTTTCTGGTAGATGCAGGAGTCACCTGGCAAAATAATCTTTCTATGAGAGATTCTACCAGTGAGATTTGTGCACTTGCACCTTCTGTGGCCAGTATGAGGCAATCTCACTCTGTCTGATGAGCCTGAAATTTATTTTTTATATTAAGGAAAATGAATGAGAAGGAGCTGGAATAATCAAAGCTGGGAGGGAATTTGCAAAACATCAAACACAGAATAGCAAATTATGTCAGGGATCTCTTACTGCTGAAGTATCTAAGACCTATAAAAAAGTAAGGGTTGACTGAGCCCACCACCAGGCTCTGCCTATAACAAAAAAGTAACTTTTGGGTGGACTGATACTTTAAAGAAAATCCAACAGGGAATGTAGGATAGCAGAATACAGTTAGTTTAAGAAGGTGCTGTTAAATTGATGTCACATAAGCAAAATACTTTTTTGTCATCTTCTGACAAGGATTTTCAGGACCAACACCCTCATGTCACTTTCCTGCAAAGTATCAACACAACAGAAGCTCATTAAATTAAAAAAAATCAAATTCTCTTTTAGGCACAAACTGACCAGGATGGATGTGTTAATATATGCATCACTGACTAGTGAACACTGTAGAGCTATCCAGCCAATATGCTCATGAGAAAATAGGCACAGCTAGCAAAAGTACAGCACAGAGATGTAATGTGGAGGAAGTGAACCTTACCCATATCTACATCACTCTTTTCAGAGTCCTTGTCTGTGTCATCTTTAATCTTCTCTTCCTCTTTCTTTGCTGGATCACTACTGCGCTCCTTTATGTCCTCTTCTACTACAGGCTCAATGGGTGAATCCTGGGGAAGCACAGAAATCACAACTACATTTATTAGCTATTGGGATCCCCATCTGATAAAAAGAGGACTTCTGTGTTAATTTATTTTATATGAAAGGCAACAATCTTATTTTAATTATGAAACATGAACTGTTTTTTCTCTATTTAGGAACAATGCAGTAGACAGTAGGGATCACCATATTTTTATTTTCTGTACTGTAAGGCAAGCCATAAATTATGCAATTTTCTTTCCTGCAACCACAGGTTAGCAACAGCTCAGAGACAAGCAACTCCATGACCACAGGAAAATGAGAGCCAGCATGTTGTATATTCATTTACCAAAGAAACATTCTGGTATAAAGTGAATGCAGGTGATCAAAGACTTCCAGCACCGATGTTGGGACAATAAACGATCGCTCTGAATCTTGGACACATTTGGACTATCAAGAAAGCATTGTCCAAATTGACTGTTTAATCCATAAGAGGTCAACTGAGTACCCCACAAAGGGGATGCCATGAGAAAGCATAAAGGATAACACTGGGGTCAGCATCTGGAAGAAAAGCTGAAGTGTAAGACTAAGAGGTCAGAGCATGGTGGAACGTCAATCAATATGTATGTGTCCCAGCTGATCACAAAGGCCAGAGGGTCCCCACTAGGGAGGGAGAGGTATGGCAAATCTGATACCATGCAAACCTGTTGGACCCACGTGCTTCAAAAGAGACAAATGTATTCTTTGGGAGAGAGAACACTGGCCAGGTTGGAATAAAGTTAATGAGACCGAGCTGGCACAGGAGTTGGAATAAGGATCTTTAGGTCTGGGAGTTGCACGGGGGGGAGGTAAGTCTGGCAAGCTGTGTGTTGGCACACGAAGGTTGAAGGTTATAAGCTGAAGAGAACACTGGTGGTGAGGGCTTAGTCTGTAATTTTGAATGGGCATTCCTTAAACCTAGATGCCTGAAGGGCAAACTACCCATGAGCTCACAAGGATTAATAAACATCCTTCCACTTAGAAAGTGAGGACATACCTTCATGCTGATGAAGGCTTCCCTGGGGGTTTAGCAGACATCTTACACCAGATCTTGCAGGTGGATGGTAAACCAGGGTGGGTTAGTTCAGATCAGGTCAAAAAATATAACTTTACATGAAGAGCACTTATCCTTTAAATGCAGAATTATGTTGTGCAAAATTTAAGGATTACCTTTGGTTCCTTCCTCTCTTCTGTGGGCTGTGGTTCTGAAGGAGGTTCTTCTGTAGTAGTTTCCTCTACAAATACAACAAATATCATACAGGAATTTTATTATAGACATTAACATTTAATTTATGAATAATTAATTCAAGTCAGTACATAGCTAGAAATGATAATTATAACAGACAGATAACAAAAAAACTACTAATACATATGAGGACTGTGCTCACCTATTCGCTCATTGTCTTCACAAGTAGTGCCAGCAATTCCGCTGCTCTCGAGGCCATAACTTGGGTCAGCTTTGCCAGTTATTTTTGCTGCATCTTCCACCTTACGAACATGGGCTTCTACTAATGCTGTGGGAACCTCCTCCTTCATCTTAGAAAATTCCTCTATTAGAAATGAGAAAAAAAAACATTTCAGCAACTGTTTTACCAGAAGAGAGTATAATAATCGAATATGAAGAGTGGGAGGTAATCAGTTAGGAACAAACTCAGAAAAGAAGGAATAGTAGCAACAAGTTATAGATACAATCAAATGTCAATGCATTACTATCTACTTTACTTATGAATAATCTAATTCTAATAAAGGGTGCCTTTCAGTTCAACAACTTTCAGGTTAGCTAAGTGTACCAGTGAGAAGGTTATAACCCACAGGGAAGGAGTACTTCAGAATGTCCAATCTACGGTAGACAGAGCTTTTCTATGACGTTTCTGTGACTCCATTCACACCCCACAGCACAAACAATGCCAGAGACCGAAAAACCCATAATCCTTATTTACTACTGAGAAACGCCCCAGTACAGTAAAGTCTAGACCAGAAGCAAGGAGCTCAAATACCTTTCAGTGAACATCCTAACCGTCAGAGTGCAACTTTTCTCTAAATCTACCATGTCTGACTACAATTCTGAGACTAGATGAGGTTCTAAAATTCTAGGACTTGTTAAATGCAACTATTCAGTTCACTGCCTGTAGTAAATTAGAACTATGAAAATAATACCTAAAGCTGATTTGGCTGCAGCAGATGCTACACGGGGGTCCACCACAGAGGCCAGAAAGGCTACAGTACTCATTACAGGGTTTCCAGATTGGCTAAATGGTATAGGTTGATAGGCCAAAGGACCGAGAGATGCTTCAGAGTCCTCTAAATATGGGTCTTCAATCGGCAACCGCAAGAAGTGTAAAATACATTCATCTTGAGTGCGACTGCCAACATGTTCAGACACCTTGTTCCAGTCATCTTTGTACATCTCCAGAGCCTGTACAGGATAGAAAGAAAAGAAAAACCCAGGTTATCGCATGACGTTACATTTCTATGAATTGCATAGCTGTACCTGTCCATTAAAGATTACCTCCAGCAGTAACAGAGTCTCCTGCTCAGTCCATTCTCTTGTGGCACTCGCAGCAGATTTACTCTGCAACACAATATAAAAACAAACTGAAGTCATTGCTAGCCCTGGAGAATCAATTAAAGGATAAAATAAGAATGGCAGAAAAAAAACAAAACAGTACTAACGGTGATAGTTAAAATCACAATAGAAACATCTTCTCAATATAAAAGCAATAACAGGAAATTATTACTTATGTTATTATAAAACATTTGAATATAAGAATCCGCACAAGCTACATAAACAGTTAGTTCACCTGTTCACAAAAAATGAAAGTGTTAACCAACTCTAACTATCATATCCAACTACACAGCCCTGGGCTGCTGGGGTACATTGTAATATATGGCTCCTTCACATTGCTCACATAGGCAAGTGCTCATTGGTCAGTGCAGCCAAGTGACCATGCTGAACAATGGTAAGCGCTTCTAAGGCTTATTCATGTGTTAGCTCTGATTACTGACCAATGATTGCCATCATGAGCATTATGCTGGATACCCATCCCGGGGGGAAAGTTGGGCAGGTCATTGCGCTGTTACTCCAGCAGTACGGGCATCGCTGGTGCTATGTGCAGTTTAGTCGATAGTGGTGCAATATTGGAGTTAGTTCACCTCTTCATTGTTTGTGCATAGGAGAATTTACCATTTAAGATTTATAGAGTTATTATCATCCTAAAAGTAACAATATGATCTTTCCTTATAATAGAATATTTCAGAAATCGAATTAAACTTTTTTCTTTTTGGATTGGATAGGGTGTGGAAAGATTAGAACTCTGTTGGGGAGATTAATGCTCTATTTGTTCTGCAGACCAATTGCACTGGGAATAAAAGTGAGGAGAAATGTAAAATTCTTACTTGCCACCAGAACAGGATCAGAGGGGAAATCCTTAAATTGGAATGTCTGTTCTGGTGACAGCTAAGAGAAGATGCGCTTCATTGTGGGTATTTGCTTTCACTGCCTGTCGTGTATACAAACAAAAAAATGAAGGGAAATGGGACACAGATGGCAAAAGAGAGGTTTTAATTCCCTACTCTATCCAAAATGGAAAGAAATATTTTTGCTTTATATTCATTTTAATGTAATAACAGTAATGCCCCCATATTTCCTCAACAGAGGGTACGCTTTTTTTTGTAGAACCAGCCCTTGAAACTCACCTTGGAAGTTGTATTCTTCTTGCTATACATGTCAGTCCTTAGGCCAAAATTTTGCAGGTCACTTGGTTTTTCTTTACCTTTTTCTGGAAAATTGAGCATCTGCTGTGAAGCTGAGGTCTGTTAGGAGAATAGAAAAGAATTAAATAAACACATGTGACAAGTAGAAGAGGCTAGATGAGAGTAAACCGCAAGAAAGCATTATCAGAAACCTGGATAAATGCTTATTTAAATACAGAAGAAATATCTAAGCTGAAAATCACCTTGCATGCTTCAGATTGTAAACGGCTTCCTGTAAGACAACTGCAATAGTCCAGTAGATGGTTAAACATCAGAAATGGAAGACTGTTTTACTGAATCATAGTGGACATCTCAGAGTAGTGGATGTATCTATGTGATGTTTGACAGGTGATTCCTTGTAAACGAACAGGCAGTAAAAGGCTACACAAGAGTACCTGTGGTGTTTTGGGCTGCAGTGGTACCAATCCTGATGGTGTGTCAGCTAAGACATGAAAGTGCGAAGTGGGGGGTGGTCCCATTGGTGTAGGACGACTCTCAGCATCCACTTGATAATTAATTAATCCCCATTGTTCCAAAAAGGCATGGACCCTGTATTAAAAAAACCCAAGGAAACATTCATCAATTGTGAAAAGCTCAAGCTGTTCTGCTAGGAAATGCCACAACAGAGTTCAACCTTTTAAGTTTCATAAGATGGCACTGATACGTCACACACACCTCATGATAGCGCAAACATCCCCTGCCAAGTTGCGCCGGCATGCTGTTGAAGTGAGGTATTCCTGAGGATTCAGCCGATACGTGTCAATCATGAAATTTCGATATGCCAAATAGCTAAAAAAGAGAAATAATTTTCAACATTCTGTTGCATTGATTACTTAGCATGCATTTTATGTTTAGAAAAACAGGAGGTGCCAAAATAGGTAAAAACGTACGTGTGTGTGTGTTACACTTGAAAGAAGAAAATATCAGCTAGTTATGGTGAATCATTTTCAACAGGACATATTAATAAAAAGCCAATGATTTACAGTATGACATTTCAATACAGACACACTCTTCCTGACACACTTTAACCACTTCAAGTCCGGACACTTTTACCCCCTTCCTGTCCAGGCCAATTTTCAGCTTTCAGCGCTATCACACTTTGAATGACAATTGCGCGGTCATGCAAAACTGTACCCATATGAATTTTTTAGCATTTTTTTTGAGAAAGATAAAACTTTATTTTGGTGGTATTTATTCACCACTGGGATTTTTATTTTTTTTGCTATATACAGTAAATGAAAAAGTCCAAACATTTTGAAAAAAGAAGTGTTTTTCTTAAACAATTTGCAAATAAATAATCTTCCTTCATCAGTCTTGGCCAAAATGTATTCAGCTATTTTAGTAAATAAAAATAAATAACCCAAAGTAGTTTATAACCAAAAATTATAATTTAAAAAAAAAATATTTTAAATTTTTATATTATTATTTGTTTTTTCACATACTGTCACCCTAGCAGTACAGTGTCACCATAGTGACACTGTACTACTTGTGGGGGGTGATGAAGATTTTTTTTTTTTTTTTTTTTTTTACACTGATTGCTTTTACACCCATAAAGGCTGTAAAAGCGATCATTTCTCCTCCTCTCTGGCTGCATTCTTGCAGCCATTGAGAAATACTGTGACAGCTGTGATTGGTCACAGCTTGTCACATGGTTCAAGGCTGTTGTGAATAGCCTTGTACCATGTGACCTCTGTGATCATTCACAGATTTCACACGTAGTAAGCAACTATGTCAGAAGTGACATCTGGCTTACTACTATTCATGTGATCACTGATTGGCCAATCAGTGATCACATGATCGGGACCTCACACAGAGGTCCCGTACAGCGATCGGTGTTCCACTGTGTCTGGAGGACACAGTGGGCACTGGATCGCGGTGCCGCGCGCTCCCAGGGAGCACGCACAGGCAGGGAAGTGGGAGGACGTTTATAAATGGCCACCTGCTCCTGCACTGCTCCCGTCCGGCCGTTTATGTACATGGGCCACACGGGAAGTGGTTAAAGTATCTCTGGGTTTGGTTTAAGTTATTATACACATTTATCAGCTATATATTGAAAATCTTTCTACCACACATACAGGTATTTACACCAGTCGCCACGCTGAGCTAACAACCTAATACAATCACACATACTCTAAAAAAAAATGTGCTTAGAAGCTATATATTATAAAATAAAAAGCTATGGGATGCGGAGACCATGACCCTAGAATCACAAGCAAGAGTGTGAACTGCTTAGCCACAATCGTGATGCTAATGGAAATATTATGTTATTGGTCACGTGGAGCATACCCTATATACTATTATTAAATTTCTATAGGCAACTTTTAAGCTTTTAAGATCTACAAGTTAACAAGACTAGCTAAATAACTGTCATTTTATTTAGAATAAACAGTATTCATATGAGGGCTAACACTTACATCTCAGGGGTTTTGGATTTGTTCTTTCCATTAAAAAACTCAGGCAGAGCTCGCCGCTCAATTGCATGTACACTGCAAGAAAAAGCCAATGATCACATCAGATGAACAGCGGTTGTGATTTTAAGTAACATAAATTGGTTAGGTAACAAGAGAGATGACTGTACTATGTACCTATTATAGTCAAACCAGGCCGCATAGCTGGGGATAATAATGTGATGTGTTTGTTCAGTTACATTGTCTTCATGAAGGTCAGAGGTCTTCACTTGTTCACTTTTGATCCCTGAAGAGTTCTCATCTTCTTCCTAAAAGGACCAAAGATCTATTAACTGTACTCTTATATATTCAGGAGGGAAATCTCTATGCTTGTTATTTTTTTTTAATAGCAATTTGCATTTTCTATGGATTACAGCAGACAGGACAGGCCCAAGAGTTATACACAGCTTCAAAAACACTTGAAAATTGTACCAATAAAAGACTAGTAGACTGAAAGGTTGTAGTATTAGAACAGAGAATCACTCTCCAAAAGTAAAAAAGGAGTCCAGTAACATCCAAAAACTACCACTATATTTTTTCTTAAATTGCCAGTATATACGTGTATGGTGAAGAAACAGATCAAAAGAAATGTGGTGCATTATTACATTATTATTATGTACAAACCTATATCTGGCTTTACCAGTTGGTCTTCACGTATATATTTCACTTAGCAAATGCCCCATTTGGAGTATACATGTAGATTTGCATTCAATTAATTGTATATCACTGACATACAAAGAGCCTAGCAAATGAACCCATCTGTAGATTTAAATTCATACAGATACACCAAAGATACCTTAAAACCAAGTCTTTGCCACTGACAATTTGTTTTTTAGCCAACGTCCTGTTGAAGAACAAGCAGCTAACACCCTGGATACTAGTTGCGGGATACTTATTTTGTAACACTGCTGTACCTGACAGCTATTCTATCAGAAACAGCAACTATGGAGTAATCAACTTGATTCCTGATCATGTGACCACTATGACAGTCAAACATAGTGATAACAAGGCTTTTTGTATGAAAAAAAAAAAAAAAAAAGACAGTATCAGACTGAACAGTCATTATCCCGGCACAGATAAAGGTACTTTGACAGAAGCATTCAACAGGTGTGGTTTGTAAAGCGATAAACTATCTGTAAAAAATGAACAATTAAAAAAAATCTAAAGAAAAAAAAACTTGGAGAAGGGTATTTATTAAAATAGTGAACCAAGTAAAATCCATGTTTCCTTAACTGCTTCCCCGCCGCCCCATAGTAGATATACTGCTACAGGGCAGCAGGAGTGCACAAAATCATGTATATATACGTGATTTCGCATTTCCGGGTAGGGGGCGCACATGAGCCGCGGACACGCCCTACTCGCGCCACCATTCACAGCCGTGGCTGTCAACCACCGGGTCCCAGACGGTGATTCCCCACCGGCACCCAGTGATTACCAAGGATCTCCAACAGAGAGGAGGGCTACACAGTACAGCCATCCAGAGAATGTGATTAAAGTGAAGCACTAACACACCGCCCTCTAGTAAAACACTCACAGCATATAGTTAACCCTTTGATCGCCCTTCATGTTAACCCCTTCCTGCCCAGTGCCATTAGTACAGTGTCAGTGTTTTTAGCACTGATCACTGTATTGTGTCACTGGGGATGTCAGTGACACCAAGTCAGTTTCCCCCCAGTGTCAGAATGCCCGCTGCATTCCCACTATAAGTCGCTGTTCGCTGCCATTACTAGTAAGAAAAAAAATTTAAGTATATAGACAGCCATTTATAAACCCTATAACTTTCACGTAAACCAATTAATTTACACGTATTGGGATTTTTTTTTTAGCAAAGACATGTAGCAGAATACATTTTGGCCTAAATTTATGATGAAATTTGATTTTTAAAATTTTTTAACTGGACATGTTTAATAGCAAAAAGTCAAAAATATTGTTTTTTTTTCCTCAAAATTGTCATTGATAGCGCAAAAAATAAAAAACACACATGCGATCAAATACCACCAAAAGAAAGCTCAATTCCTGGGGACAAAAAGGACGCAAATTTAATTTGGGTGCAGCGTTGCATGACTGCGCAATTGTCAGTTAAAATAACGCAGCGCCATAACACAAAAAAAAAAACCTGGTCAGGAGGGGGGGGGGGGGGGGGGGGGGGGGGGGGGGGGGGGGGGGGGGGGTCAATCCACAGGAGGGCAAGTGGTTAAAGACCCTTATAAAGTAAAGATGTGCATTTAGGTAAAATAGTCAAAGAATTCTAGACAACTAAAGGTTAATTACACAGATAGAATACGTGCATGGAAGCTGGTTCCTCTTTCAAAAGATTTGTGATTGTTCCCATCTATACCTGGGAGTTATACAGATTCCAAAACAGCACAGCCAGGTGGATGACACAACTTATATTTACGGAATACAATGATGTCCTATCAGAACCACCACACTACCATCTGAAAAGTAAAAACAGAGCAGCAGACTAATTAAATCATCACTCTGCTCTCTCCTCCTATAAGCATAGTCTTTGTCAAAACACTTATGTGCAGTGCACATGAATGGCTGCCTGTGCTGCTCCTCCCTCTCCCCCATCGTCAAATAATGCAAGCAAATTAAAGTATAACTAAAGGTAAACTTTTTTTTTATAGTTTTGGACAGTTTTAGAGTGGAGATAGATTAGAACACCTGTCACCCTATCTTCAGTGCCTTGAAAAAGTATTCATACCCCTTGAAATTTTCCACATTTTGTCATGTTACAACCAAAAACGTAAATGTATTTGTATTGGGATTTTATGTGATAGACCAACACAAAGTGGCACATAATTGTGAAGTGGAAGGAAAATGATAAATGGATTTCAAATTTTTTTACAAATAAATATCTGAAAATTGTAGAGTGCATTTGTATTCAGCCCCCGAGTCAATACTTTGTAGAACCACCTTTCACTGCAATTACAGCTGCAAGTCAATTTGGGGATGTCTCTACAAGCTTTGCACATCTAGAGTGACATTTTTGCCCATTCTTCTTTGCAATATAGCTCAAGCTCTGTCAGATTGGATGGAGAGCGTCTGTGAACAGCAATTTTCAAGTCTTGTCACAGATTCTCAGTTGGATTTAGGTCTGGACTTTGACTGGGCCATTCTAACACATGAATATGCTTTGATCTAAACCATTCCATTGTAGCTCTGGCTGTATGTTTAGGGTCGTTGTCCTGCTGGAAGGTGAACCTCCGCCCCAGTCTCGTCTTTTGCAGACTCTAACAGGTTTTCTTTTAAGATTTAAAACAGCATCCCCACAACATAATGCTGCCACCATCATGTTTCACAGTGGGGATGGTTTGTTCAGGGTGATGTGTAGTGTTAGTTTTCCTCCACACACAGCGTTTTGCTTTTAGACCAAAAAGTTAAATTTTGGTCTCATCTGACCAGAGCACCTTCTTCCACGTTTGCGATTTCCCCCACATGGCTTCTTGCAAACTGCAATTGGGACTTCTTATGGCTTTCCTTCAACAGTGGTTTTCTTCGTGCCACTCTTCCATAAGGGCCAGATTTGTGTAGTGCACGACTAATAGTTGTCCTGTGGACAGATTCTCCCACCTGAGCTGTGGATCTTTGCAGCTCCTCCAGAGTTACCATGGGCCTCTTGGCTGCTTCTCTGATTAATGCTCTCCTTGGCCAGCCTGTCAGATTAGGTGGACGGCCATGTCTTGATAGGTTTGCAGTTGTGCCATACTCTTTCCATTTTCAGATGATGGATTGAACAGTGCTGCGTGAGATGTTCAAAGCTTGGGATATTGTTTTAGAACCTAACCCTGCTTTAATCGTCTCCACAACTTTATCCCTGACTGTCTGTTGTTTTCCTTGTCCTTCATGATGCTGTTTGTTCACTAATGTTCTCTAATAAACCTCTGAGGGTTTCACAGAACAGCTGTATTTATACTGAGATTAAATTACACACAGATTTACTAATTAGATGACTTCTGATGGCAATTGGTTTCACTAGATTTCAGTTAGGGGTATTAGAGTAAAGGGGGCTAAATACAAATGCACGCAACACTTTTCAGATATTTATTTGAAAAATGTTTTCATCATTTTCCTTTTACTTCACAATTATGTGCCACTTTGTGTTGGTCTATCACATAAAATCCTAATAAAATACATTTACTTTTTTGGTTGTAACATGACAAAATGTGGAAAATTTCAATGGGTATGAATACTTTTTCAAGGCACTGTATTTGTCCTGTTTATCATTATCTTTGAAAGTAAAGAAAATCCCAAATTTTTAGTTGTCCCCTGAAAAGTAATAGAGGGAAAATCTTCCAATGGGGATGCTAGTTTTGGTGACCTGGGGTCCCCAAGGAGGATTTACCCCCCTTCCTGACCAGGCCATTTTTTGCATTACAGTTCTGCATTACTTTAATTGACAATTGCACGGTCATGCAATGCTGCACCCAAATGAAATTTATGTCTTTTTTCCCCACAAATAGAGCTTTCTTTTGGTGGTATTTGATCGCCTGTGCGATTTTTATTTTTTGCGCTATAAACAAAAAAAGAATGACACTTTTTAGAAAAAAAACTGTATTTTTGATTTTTTGCTGTCTTTGCTAAAAAAAAATCCCAATACGTGTAAATTAATTGGTTTACGTGAAAGTTTACTAGTAATGGTGGCGATCAGCGACTTATAGCGGGACTGCAGAGGGCATTCTGACACTTGGGGGAACTGACTCGGTGTCACGGACATCCCCAATGTCACCAATACAGTGATTAGTGCTAATAAAAAGCACCGACACTGTACTAATGGCACTGGGCAGGAAGGGGTTAAAATCTGGGGCGATCAAAGGTTAACTGTGTGCTGTGTGTGTTTTACTATGAGGCTGTGTCTGTGCTTTCCACTGTAAGCACACTGATTTGTATGGCTCTGCCGGTGATTGACAGTCGAGGCCGCAAAAGGCGTCACAGGTAGGACGCGCACGCTCCCTTCACCTGGAAATGCAAAATCATGTATATATACGTGATTTTGCACACCCCTGCCACCCTGTAGCAGTATTTCTGCTATAGGTCGGCAGGAAAGCAGTTAATCTGCGGAGATTATTTCTCATTTCCTGTTTGGGGCAAGAAGTGCAGGTAAATCTCCCCAAGGGGACAAAAAAGGCAAAAAATAAATGTTTTGCTGATTTTATTTTTTTAAATTTCTGAACTCAACTTTGTATTAAGTTTTTGAAATACACTTTACAGCAGAGCTCAGCCTAGGAGAGAGAAGCAGCAAATGGAGTCAATCAGTTGTGCTGCTAGTACTCATGTGCCAGCATGGAATATGCTGACAGGAGGAGATAGCAGAGTTACAGGGAGAGGTCATCAGTCTGCTCTTTCCTCTTTCACTTTACATTCACAGGCTGGGAGGGAACAGACCTCTAAGAGTTATTTAATTGCAGAAAACATAAAGCAGGCCTCTGCCTTCTCAGATGTGGGCTGTATAATCAAATTGCTGAACAGAAACACAACTCCTTTAGCAGGTACAAACTACTACCCATATATGTATTTCATTAAGCTGTTTGCCTGAAGTTCAGTGTTAATGATTTTTTTAATGAATATAGAGCTGCATTCTTTTCTATTTGCCTCCAGTTTAGCTTGATCACCTAAAACAAATATAGCAACTTCTACTGCCAACTTCAATCTAAAAATGCTGGTTGCCTGGTTGTTGATCCAATGATTTCAATACTTTCACTGACAAGGAACAAATACACAGTTCAGAACAGTCAGAAAGAGGTTTTTCTGAATACTTGTTCTGGGTCAGTGATTTAAAGCACCAACACAGGGAGGTCAGCCTTAGTCAGACTTTTGAGGAAGAAAGAATCAGAAAAGGCAGCAGCTGTGTTTAACGCTGTGACAAGTTCCCTTAAAGTTGAAGCTAATCCATACTCTGGTAATGTAGCAAGAAAACTGATCAAAATCATTTAATCCAAATCAAAGGATGTCAGCTACATTTCCTGACTGGCCATATGTAATATGCAAACCCCCTACCTTTGTCACTGCTTCCATGCTCTCATCTTCTTGTTCATCTGCAAATACCATGCAAGAGAATCGGAGATATTGTCATCATCACTAATACTCTTTTAGAGGTAAAACATCAGTTACTGTATATGATCAATCAACTTAAGAAAATATGGATTTCATGTTGTAATTTAGATCTGATTCATAAACATAAATCATAATATGTATATTTAACAATCAGTGTACATTCACATGAATGAATGAAAATACAGCAACTAGTATGCAGGATATTGCTGACTGAAGCTGCTGTAACACGTGAAGTGACAGAGTTGTGCTTTCACCTAGATTATCTGTAACCCTTACATTCTCTTCCACAGACTGTAACAAATTCCTTTTTTGTTTCACCTAAAAGTGACCCCTATCTGTTCACACGTCCCACTATTGCCCAAGTGGTCTACACCCAGATGTGAAATGCCAGCCCACCCTGGGGGTACCACCATACCTTCAGGGATAAGGGGTAATACGTTTACAAACATCTTAAGGTCTGGATGGAGTTTTCTATAAGAAGAAATACTACTGCTTCACACAGTGCCTTGAAAAAGTATTCATACATAGTTACATAGTTAGTCTGGCTGAAAAAAGTCCATCCAGTTAAACCATTAAAAAAAAAAAAGTTATAATCCTATACCCACAGTTGATCCGGAGGAAGGCAAAAAAAAAAAGCCCAGCAAAGCATGATCCAATTTGCTCCTGCAGGGGAAACAATTCCTTCCTGATCCCCCGAGAAGCAATCGGATATTCCCTGGATCAACTTTACCTATAAATGTTAGTATCCAGTTATATTCTGTGTATCTAGGAAAGAATCCAGGCCTTTTTTAAAGCAATCCACTGAGCTGGCCAGAATCAGCTCTTGAGGGAGTCTATTCCACATTTTCACAGCTCTCACTGTGAAGAAACCTTTCCATTTTTGGAGATTCTTTTCCTCCAGACGTAACAAGTGCCCCCTTGTCCTCTGTGATGACCTCAGGGTGAATAGCTCTACACTGATTTCACTATATGAAACACTGATGTATTTATACAGGTTGATCATATCCCCCCTTAATCTCCTCTTCTCAAGAGAGAAAAAATTCAGTTCCTCTAATCTTTCCTCATAGCTGATCTCCTCCATGCCTCTTATCAGTTTGGTTGCCCTTCTCTGTACTTTCTCCAGTTCCCGAATGTTTTTTTTGTGAATTGGTGCCCAAAACTGAACTGCATATTCCAGATGAGGTATTACTAATGATTTATACCGGGGTAATATGATATCTCTCTCTCTGGAGTCTATACCTCTTTTAATACAAGAGAGGATTTTGCTCGCTTTAGAAACCGCAGCTTGGCATTGCATGCCATTATTAAGCTTGTGATCTACCAGAACTCCCAGATCCTTCTCCACCATTGATTCTTCCAGTTGTACCCCCCTAGTATGTATGATACATGCATATTCTTAGCCCCCAAGTGCATAACTTTACATTTATCAACATTAAACCTCATTTGCCACATACAGTCAGGTCCATAAATATTGGGACATCGACACAATTCTAACATTTTTGGCTCTATACACCACTACAATGGATTTGAAATGAAACGAACAAGATGTGATTTAATTGCAGACTGTCAGCTTTAATTTGAGGGTATTTACATCCAAATCAGGTGAACAGTGTAGGAATTACAACAGTTTGCATATGTGCCTCCCACTTCTTAAGGGACCAAAAGTAATGGGACAGAATAATAATCATAAATCAAATTTTCACTTTTTAATACTTGGTTGCAAATCCTTTGCAGTCAATTACAGCCTGAAGTCTGGAATGCATGGACATCACCAGACGCTGGGTTTCATCCCTGGTGATGCTCTGCCAGGCCTCTACTGCAACTGTCTTCAGTTCCTGCTTGTTCTTGGGGCATTTTCCCTTCAGTTTTGTCTTCAGCAAGTGAAATGTATGCTCAATCGGATTCAGGTCAGGTGATTGACTTGGCCATTGCATAACATTCCACTTCTTTCCCTTAAAAAACTCTTTGGTTGCTTTTGCAGTCTGCTTTGGGTCATTGTCCATCTGCACTGTGAAGCAGCATCCAATGAGTTCTGAAACATTTGGCTGAATATGAGCAGATAATATTGCCCGAAACACTTCAGAATTCACCCTGCTGCTTTTGTCAGCAGTCACATCATCAATAAATACAAGAGAACCAGTTCCATTGGCAGCCATACATGCCCACGCCATGACACTACCACCACCATGCTTCACTGATGAGGTGGTATGCTTAGGATCATGAGCAGTTCCTTTCCTTCTCCATACTCTTCTCTTCCCATCACTCTGGTATAAGTTGATCTTGGTCTCATCTGTCCATAGGATGTTGTTCCAGAACTGTGAAGGCTTTTTTAGATGTCGTTTGGCAAACTCTAATCTGGCCTTCCTGTTTTTGAGGCTCACCAATGGTTTACATCTTGTGGTGAACCCTCTGAATTCACTCTGGTGAAGTCTTCTCTTGATTGTTGACTTTGACACACATACACCTACCTCCTGGAGAGTGTTCTTGATCTGGCCAACTGTTGTGAAAGGTGTTTTCTTCACCAGGGAAAGAATTCTTCGGTCATCCACCACAGTTGTTTTCCGTGGTCTTCCGGGTCTTTTGGTGTTGCTGAGCTCACCAATGCATTCCTTCTTTTTAAGAATGTTCCAAACAGTTGTTTTGGCCACGCCTAATGTTTTTACTATCTCCCTGATGGGTTTGTTTTGTTTTTTCAGCCTAATGATGGCTTGCTTCACTGATAGTGACAGCTCTTTGGATCTCATCTTGAGAGTTGACAGCAACAGATTCCAAATGCAAATAGCACACTTGAAATGAACTCTGGACCTTTTATCTGCTCATTGTAATTGGGATAATGAGGGAATAACACACTCCTGGCCATGGAACAGCTGAGAAGCCATTTGTCCCATTACTTTTGGTCCCTTAAGAAGTGGGAGGCATATATGCAAACTGTTGTAATTCCTACACCGTTCACCTGATTTGGATGTAAATACCCTCAAATTAAAGCTGACAGTCTGCAGTTAAAGCTCATCTTGTTCGTTTCATTTCAAATCCATTGTAGTGGTGTATAGAGCCAGAAATGTTAGAATTGTGTCGATGTCCCAATATTTATGGACCTGACTGTAGTTGCCCAATTAAACAGTGCATTGAGGTCGGCTTGGACATTGGAGACATCCTGTAAGGACGTTATTCCACTGCACAGCTTGGTGTCATCTGCAAAGACTGAAATGGGATTTATAATCCCAGACCCTATATCGTTTATAAATATATTAAAAAGTAAGGGTCCCAACACTGAACCTTGGGGTACACCACTGACAACCCTAGACCATTCAGAGTATGAGTCATTAACCACTACTCTGAATACGATCTTTTAGCCAGTTTTCTATCCATTGACATACAGATTTTTCCAAGCCTGTAGGCTTTACCTTACACATTAGCCGTCTATGGGGAACTGTGTCAAAGGCTTTTGAAACATCCAAGTATACCACCTCCACCACCAACCCTCTGTCCAAGGTTTTGCTCACCTCCTCATAAAAATAAATCAGATTTGTTTGAAAACTTCTGTCTTTCATGAATCCATGCTGTCTGTTGCTTAAAATATTTTTTTTTCAGCAGGAACTCATCTATGTGGTCTTTTTATTAAACTATCCAGTATCTTCCCAACTATAGACGTTAAACTAACAGGTCTATAATTGCTTGGTAAAGATTTTGACCCCTTTTTAAATATTGGTACCGCATTGGCCTTACGCCAGTCTAGTGGTACTATGCCAGTCATTAAAGAGTCCCCCTTGAAGTTTTCCACATTTTGTCATGTTATAACTAAAAACATAAATGTAATGTATTGGGATTTTATGTTAGACCAACACAAATTGGCACATAATTATGAAGTGGAAGGAAAATGATAAGTGTTTTTTTTTTACAAATAAATATCTGAAAAGTGTGGCGTGAATTTGTATTCAGTCCCACTGAGTCAATACTTTGTAGAACCTTTTGCTGCAATTACAGCTGAAAATCTTTTTGTGGATGCCTCTACCAGCTTTGCACATCAAGAGAGTGAAATTTTTGCTCATTCTTCTTTGTAAAATAGCTCAAGCTCTGTCAGATTGGATGGAGAGTGTCTGTGAACAGCAATTTTCACATCTTGCCACAGATTCTCAATTGGAATTAGGTCTGGACTTTGACTGGGTCATTTTAACACATGAATATGCTTTAATCTAAACCATTCTATTGTAGCTCTGGGTGTATGTTTAGGGTCGTTGTCCTGCTGGAAGGAGAACCTCCGCCCCAGTCTCAAGTCTTTTGCAGACTCTAACAGGTTTTCTTCTAAGATTGCCCTGTATTTGGCTCCATCCGTTTTCCCATCAACTCTGACCAGCTTCCCTGTCTCTGCTGAAGAAAACCATCTTCACAACATGATGCTGCCACCACGTTTCACGGTGGGGATGGTGTGTTCAGTCTTAGTTTTGCGTCACACAGAGCGTTTTTTGCTTTTAGGCCAAAAGGTTCAATTTTGGTGTCATCTGACCAGAGCGCCTTCTTCCACATGTTTGCTGTGTCCCCCACATGGCTTCCAGCAAACTGCAAACGGGCATTCTTATTCAATGGCTTTCCTCTTGCCACTCTTCCATAAAGGCCAGATTTGTGGAGTGCACGACGAATAGTTGTCCTGTGGACAGATTCCCCCACCTGAGCTGTGGATCTCTGCAGCTCCTCCAGAGTTACCATGAGCCTCTTGGCTGTCTCTCTGATTAATGCTCTTCTTGCCCGGCCTGTCAGTTTAGGTGGACGGCCATGTCTTGGTAGGTTTGCAGTTGTTGAATACTCTTTCCATTTTTGGATGATGGATTGAACAGTGCTCCGTGAGATGTTCAATGCTTGGGATATTTTTTTAGAACCTAACCCTGCTTTAAACTTCTCCACAACTTTATCCCTGACCTGTTTGGTGTGTTCCTTGGCCTTCATGATGCTGTTTGTTCACTAATGTTCTCTATCAAACCTCTGAGGACTTCACAGAACAGCTGTATTTATACTGAGATTAAATTACACACAGGTGTACTCTATTTACTAATTAGGTGACTTCTGTAGGCAATTGGTTCCACTAGATTTTTAGTTAGGGGTATCAGAGTCAAGGGGGCTGAATACAAATGCACGCCACACTTTTCAGATCTTTTTTTTTTTTTTTTATTTAAAAACCATTTATCATTTTCCTTCCACTTAACAATTATGTGCCACTTTGTGTTGGTCTATCACATAAAATCCCAATAAAATACATTTATGTTTTTTTTGTAACATGACAAAATGTGGAAAATTGAAAGCGGTAGGAATACTTTTTCAAGGCATTGTATGTCACAGTGGTCTCACAAGAACAAATTATATTGACAACAAACTTGATATATTCACTCACCAAGGTCAGTCACTGTGCCTCCTTTTACTGGGGCAGATTCAGAATCTTTCTTGGTGTTGACTTGGAAAGAAAATATAAACAATCAGCATTCTGGACAGAAGTGAATTATAAAGCTTTGCCTTCTGGAAAGTACAATTACCAGCTTTGGGCAGTGTTACTTCTTCTACATTAGGCACAGGTGAAGGTTCATCCATGTCCTTTGTCAGATCCTCTTGTTCCTCCTCACGGTGGCCCCTCTTGGATTTAGTGTAAGGAGTCGAGGGTCTAGGCGTATAAATGGTATAAATTATAAGAATGAGAACCACTATATCACGTGATCACAGTCATTTATATAGAGTGATGGACAGCCCAAAGCTGAAGAAAAATATCTACAGTAATATAACATTAACATGAAAAGGGGCAACAATCATAAATCAAGAGCTCATTGAACAAATTACATTAACATACTTTAATTAAAAGCGGTGAAAGAGACATGCACCAATCATTCACTGCAGTTGGATCTGTCACTGTATTTCAAAACATGTGCACCAGAAAGATTCATCTGTAGTGAATGACTGGCAGGTGTCAAAATAACTGCTTTAAATATATGCACCTGTTTTCTCCAACCTGCAAATGAAAAATAAAACTGTGCTATGAATGGTTTATATTGAGTAACAAATACACTTCTTTCTACAAATTCAAACAAAACCTTATGGGAAAAGAGCACATGGTCATCACAAGTGCAAATGATAGATCACTTATTCTTCATTTCTAAGAATGTAATCAATTGCACATATTGTGCAGAAGTGACATCATTTTCCATTTCTATTTTAGGTTTTTTTTCACATGGTTAAAAGAAACCCCTTCACTATGTGACTCTGTGTTTTTGAGACATTCCATACAGAAAAGTCTGCGCAGACACACACCCAGCAAATCGGGCTCAGCAGTGCTTCTAAATTATATTAATAATAAAGTACTGTTAACGCACAACTCAGGGGTGTGCAAATTTTTGAAAAAACTACTTGTCCAGGGACCAAATCGGTGCACCAGTCTACTTGTTCCTCATGACAATCTACTTGTCCAGATGAAAAAAAAATAAATTTGGACCAAAACCGTATTTAAATCAGAGGTGATATTAGAAATGTTTTAAAAACAAAAGGGACGACTTAAATGTGTAAAATTTTTAACACTGTGCTGTTTATCTCCTGCCCCTCCCCCCACCTGTCTCCAGCACCACATCCAGGGACTAGCAGGGAGGGGAGAGACCTTGCCGTGTAATGAGCACCGATTGACTGCTCCTCAGGAAAGGGGAGTGTTGGGCTTATCCTTTATCCCTTTCGCTTACAGAGCAGTTTTTGCGTTTTTGTACAAGATTAAAAAATCATTTTAGGCTTGAAGATTACATAAAGCCCCCAAACATGATATATTTTCTAAAAGCAGAGACCCTAGAGAATAAAAGTGGTAGTTCCAATTTTTTATGTCACATGATATTACTGCAAAATTTCAGTAAAAATACAAGCAAGTTAATTTTAAGGCACAAAAAAAGCAATAAATTACCCTATTTTAAAAAAATATAAAAGATGAGGTTGCATCGAGTAAACAGATATCCAACATGTCAAACCTTAAATTTGCGTGCACATGTGACATGGCGACGAATTTCAGTACCCTAAATTTTCCATAGGTGATGCTTTCAAAGCCCCTTATAGGTCATCAGTTTAGTGTTACAGAGGAAATCTGGGGCTAGAATTATTTCTCTCATCCTGGCGTGCACAGCGATATGTGACATGTGTACTGCAATCGGCATTTACATTCGTAGGCGCCTCAGCACGTGCTTTTATGTTTGTACGTGTGGATATGTGTGGGTGGGGGGCCTCATTTTTTTGGGGGGGGGGGGGGGAGGATTTTATGTGCTTAGGTATAACTTTTATGTTTTACAATTAGAAAAAAAAAAATACACCGCATTACATTTAGTGAATCTCTCAACGAGGACTCGGAAGTGACATCATAACATCACTTACGGGTCAGGACAAGAAGGGGGGAGGGGAGAGGATGTGTCTGCTCTCCTCCCTCCATTCTGACGGCAGTGAACCGGGCCTGCAGATGGGCATGCCCGGGAGACGGTTCACACGAGGGGGCAGAGAGGCTGGCACTGTGTGGAAGCAATCAGTGGCAGCGCTGCTGCCGACTGCTTCCACCTGACAGGTGAGCCCTGCTGCTTGCCTGTAGCAGGACTAAAGGTAGAAAAAAAAATACCTGCCCGGCACCCGGAACTACATGTCTCTGGTGTCGGCCGATAGGAATTCAACATCCCTTCAACTACAGGCAAAAATTAAATTTAAATAGTGTATTATGCATTAATTATCTTATTCCTCAGTCTTGATTGCAAACACCCTTCCTAAACCATCCTGCAGTGCAATGGATCAGTCACCGTTTCCTTCATGAGCCAAGCTAACATCCTACCCTGAGGACCAGATATTTTCCCTGCTTGTTATCAACTGGAGCACCGATCCCTTCACTGCCCTTGTGAGTGGCTGATGTGCCCACTGGAAGTTTTGCCTCCACCAATAGATGTCCACATCTTGTAGGCATTGATGTGACCATCTAAAGAAGGGGTCCCGGAAGAAAACAGAAGAGAGAAGGAATTGGATTGGCCTTGTCACGTGACTACAGCTTCAGCTGACTGCAGCTTCAGGCAATTAAAGTGGGCATTTGGATAGTTTTTTTCATACCGGGGGGTTGCCAATATCCTGGATCTGGGTTTTAAGAAAATGCAACACTGTACTGCATGTGTTGCTCAACTGTACATTACCATTTTTCTGTATAAGGATCCAGCTCAATTAAACAAACTATATAGCTTCAAATTGTTTTCTAGTTTTGGATAGAGAACAGAAGAGTCAAAAACCTTGTCTGATTGGGGGAGATTTTCTTTCACTTCCTGTCCTGGAGGTGCAACAAAATGTTGGTCAAGGGAAATCCTAAATTTTCATAGAATGGGTATCCCCAGTGGAAGATTTCCCGTAACCTCTTGTTCTTGTGACTACAGTAAAACTTTCATGGTGTCTTGGTGATAATCATAGCTCCCAGCACAGACACAAATGGCAATAAAAATTGGCTAGGGTTCTAATCCTCCCCATACTCTATCCAACCTGAAACAAAAGTTTTAGCTATACGGCTTCCAATTTTGGTAGCTTTGCAATGTGAAAAGGCACGTCCCTGATTATATTTAACATTTATACATGCAATTCAAATGAAGTAACCATACTCTAATCTAACCACATGTATAGTGTTTTTAAATAATTGTAATAAAAGGGAATATGTGTTTTATACAGAATTGTTCCAGGTAAAAAATTACAAATTTTACAAATATGATTTTTTTAAATGAAATGTAAAATAAGTATTCTATATAAATAGTAATTAAGATATAATAAGTGTAAAATCTATAAAGTAAAAAAATAAAATAAAGCTGCCCTAAACCAACTATTGTTTCTATAAATACAGTTTTTAGAAAAACAGTGTATTTCCAGGAAAAAGAAATATATGTGTATCATTGATTATATATTACAAAACAGGAAAAAATGTGTCATCCTCCATTCCATTATTTGGAAATATGAAATGATCTAAAAAAAAAAAGGAGATAACCTGGCTGACACACCAAGTCCAGGTCTTCCTCACTATCAGAGGAGGGCATAATTATGGCAAGGAAGAAAAGGAAGGGGTAACAAAGAAAAAAAAAAGGGGTGGGGGAGGTTGTATACTTTTCTTTTTTTTCCCCTGGTTCTTTTTTTTGCTTTCCCTACCCCCTCATGTATTAATAGAGTCAAGTGAGTCAGGATTAAGCTTAATTGGCAAATAAAGAAGGGCTTCATAGGGGTTTTTGAAAAACAATTTACCTGTGAAGGTGTAGATAATTTGATCTCTGATCCAGAATCTCTTCATTTTCAGGCAATTCCACCAAATATGTCTAAATAAGCCATCTGTTTGGCAACCTCTGAAGCACTTGTGGGAGTAGATCATGATTGCGTGAGAGACACTCAAGGGGACTAGGTACCAGCGAAGAAGTACTAAACCAACTATTTAAAGAGAAATAAAGTGCAAACTGGTAGAAAGTGACCCTACCCTTTCTTGACATTCTTCTTCTTTGCTTCGGCACTTGGGGGAGGGGACGGGGAACGTTTCCTCTTTTTGTAATTAGGTCCCTTCTTGTCCTTGCGGTCCGAATCAGGACTGCTTACCTTTAAATAGAAAGCAACAAAAAGCCACAAAACTGAAAATATATTTCGATGTTCATAGTTGTCAGATCATCAGCTCTTACTGGCCACACTAAATGTCAGAACATGGACTCCTCATCATCCAAATTTCTATTTCTACATGTTACAAAGGTGGCATGACAGTATTCTTTAGCAACTTGCCATATAAGAAATAACGTAGGCTGCCATGCTGAGTTACTTTTTCTAAAAATGCTAGCTGCCTGGCTGTCATTCTGAACCTCTTACTTCAATACTTACAGTAAAGTCAGAACTAATCGGTATTATGTTCTAGGCAAGGTACTACTCCCTGGATCTCCAAAGTCATTAGGCAACTAGCATTTCAGTAAGCAGTCAGTAATGGCAGCCCCTTCATTTCTCATAATATATATTTAATGAATTTTCATTGAAAAAAAATCAGGTCAATATTTCTGCACAAATAACCAAATTAACCTAAAATTAATTATCTTTATCTAAACTCTAATGAAAAATGATAGAAAATATTTACAATATAACAATTTCTAAAAATGTTCACTACTGGAATCTTACACATTCAAAGCTACATAGCACTAGACTCTGATTACAGAATACCTGCATTACAATACTGACAGCACATGTGCTACTACTTTAAATATATATGTGCATCTTTATATTGCAGAAATTGCTTTTTCAACACCCTGAACAGTATGGAACTAGTACAGCACTTAAGCTGGCCGTAGACAGATAGAATTTCAAAATAAAATTCTAAAAAAAGTGACGTTATGATTTGCCTATTGTTTTGAGGGCTGCCGCAATATTAGCTAGATCTTTGTTAACTACTTTATCTTACAAGTTTTGCTTATTAACATGCTATTATTCTTGGCAGCTACATTCTTGCTGCCTAACATTGTCTTGGCTATTTCAAAAAGCTTTTTTTTATGCAGTGTTTTATACCTTATAATTTTTTCTATAAAATGTATTGAATGTGAAAATTCTTAGGAAGATTCGAACAAAAATTCTCAGAACATTATCAGAATAACTGAATGTCATTCAAAAGATTTTGTTTGCTTTTAACATTTGATTTTAGAATGAATGGACTTTACCGAATGAAAACTACATACACTGTTGGAATTTCAATTATATGAGACAAGTTTTCCATCCTGCTCCTTTAAATTCACTGCGGTCGAAACAAATGTCGATTTGACCCCCTAATGATTAGAAAAACAAACAAACTTTCTTAGAACATTCTTTTCCTAAGAATTTTCATTTCAAATTCTACCAATCTATGGCCAGCTTTACTCTCTCTGGCACTGGCACACATTAACTTGGAATGGGCAACAATGCAGATAAAGGTGGAGGGAACAGATTTAGGAAGGTTGGTTTGTACTGCCAGAGAGGTCACAGTCTTGACAAAGCCTTATCTGCCTTAAATATGAAATTATTTGTAAAAAAAATAGTCAGAATCATACAAAAAATAAAGAGATTCAAATTTGATTCAGAGTGTTTCAAATACTTGTGTGAACAGTTTGAAAGAAAAGATGAAACAACACAGCCTGTTTAGCATGTTAACCAAGAAACAGTATAGGAAAGCCTCTTGAGGTCTCAGCACTGGTATACAAATGGATCTGACAAAGTGAAAGATTTGCCCAAGAATACGTACAATATGCCCCTTAAGACCTCTGCAAGATAACTGCCCATCCTCTGAGTGCCCCTCCGAATGTGGTTTCACTGTATTAATAGGGACCTGACTTTAGAGCTGAGCTCCACCAACTGCCATTCTCCTGTGCAATCAGCGTGCCCTTACTTATCACAGAGGCAGTACAGGAGGGGGCCATTGTCAAGGCAGAGTCCTTGAAATCAGGCCCCTAGTAACAAAAATGAAACTATTTTCAGAGAGACATACCAGGAAGGTTTTGTAGCAGGCATGTTATGGCAGCTGCTCGAGGAAGGGATTTTAGGTTTGTCTTGAGGTAGTAGAGGTGACTGAATGGTAAGATCCAAACAGTATGGTCAAATGATTTCTGAATCTCTAACTTGCAAATGAGGGTGTTGTGTAATGCAGAGAATTTAATTATAAGAAATCCATAATTTAGGGATGATCAATGATTGTCTAAAAACTTATTACTGAATTCAAATGCTTTCACAAAGTGAGAATATTTACTAAATGTATAAATATCATTACAACAGAAGCAAGAATCAAAAATGCTGCAATAACTTGGCAAAGGGATATCCCCCCCAAAAAAACCCATGAAGGGAAGCTTGGCTGTTCAGCTAAGCTTCTAATATCACTTGCTTAAAAGAAATACATTTCCTCTGACATCCCCCAACCCCTCAATTTTTTTTTGTAAATTAAGAAAAAAAAAAACCAAAAGTTTCCTCGCAACCCTGCAAGGCTGTGAGTCATTTGCATGCTGCTCTGCCCCAGAAAAGTTTCCAGCCTGCAATTACCTTACTGCTTTTCGCAGAAACCTACAGTAATTTAAAATTAAATTTAGGCATCCCCTGCAATAAGAGGTTCATATTTTGACCTTTGCTCTAAAAGGGATACAGACACTACAGCTTTTCACCAGAGATTGCTCAGATGACCACAAAGAAGGTGGGCTTCCCATTTGCAAACAACAATATAACCCTGCAAAATCTGAGGCACCAGTATACATCATACAGAAATGACAGTAAAAGGATAAGAAAATAATAGAGCATAGCAAAGTGACCTCTATAACAGGAGATTGCAGTAATGATCTCACTTCATCAGTCAAAGTCTTGGCTGAGATCTTCTTGCGACGTGCAACAGGATTGCGATCATCATTCACCTCATAATCTTCTTCATTCATCCACTCATTAAATGAGTCTGTGTCTAAGATCCACTTGGCATGCACCTAATTAGGGAAAAAGAGTGTTGTGTTAAGTTAAAATGGAACTCCAGCTAAAATGTCTTTTGTGCTTACGAGAGAGTGGGTAAAGTGTATAACCCCTGTCAAATAATTACCTGAGTCTAGGTCCCTACTGAGATAATTTTATTTGTTTTATTGCAATTTTTTTTACACTTTTTCATAGCCCCCATGTGATATCATGGGTAGGTGACAGGTCCTCTTTATGGTGACATTGGGAGTGTATTATCCCCAATCTCTTCCCTGTCCTCCACTGCAGCTAATCAAGCAAGGATTGTGCTTGATTACACTGTTCAACAAATTTTTATTTTTTGCCAGTTTTGGAAACAAAAGGATCCATTTCTTAATGAATTTCACATTCTGAGTTCAAATATAACAATGAAATTTGTCAATTGGCTCTAGTTTTTCTGTAAACGGAAAGTTTTCTACTATAGGCGTAATGACTACATAATGCACAATAATTATATAGATAGATGTCTTTCCACAAATATAAAGCAAGTGATACTGACTACATAACAAAGCCTAAATGGCATAATATATTGCATAGGATTACCAAGAAAAATTATAGCCATAAGCTAAGTTGAATCATTTTAATACTTAGGATTCTCACTAGTTTTGTCTTCAGTTTGTGTCGGTTTTGCTTCTCTTGGCTTTTCTCTTGTATTCGAGGAAAGGGCTATCTCTTACAACTGCACGTGACTACACGCTTCAGGTTCTTCCTCACTTGACTCAACCACGAAGGATTCTGGTGCTTTAGGAATTGGTAGCCCCTCTCCATGAGGAACTGGACGTATTGCCGATGGAATATTTGGATAGTGCACAGATAACTTTTTCTTCTTATTTAGCCCTTTTACAATTGGAGGCACCATACAAAAGTAACAATTACTAACATGATCTGTTGGCTCTCTCCAAATCATTGGCACAGCGAAAGGCATAGATGCCTTTTTTCCATTCAACCATTGCTCCAGCGCCGTCCCACAAGAATTGCAGCATATATGTGGTGCCCAGCTCTTGTCCTGGTCTCCTATCTTGCAGCCAAAATACAAGTTGTAGGCTTTCTTAATCATTCCTGTTATCCTCCTTTTTTGTGAGATAAAAGTTATTTCACCGCAGATATAGCAGAAATTATCTGCTTTATTCACACAAGTTCGAGGCATTACTGAGTAGCCTATATAAGCATAAAACGAAATGTAAAGACGCTGTCGAACTACAATCAGCTACAGATACTGCAGCTTTTATGCAGTGAAGTGATGCAATTAAAGGCTAATATTGCATCATCTCAGTATACATGCAATTTTCTATTGGTCACCAGTATCAATTGCGCAATATGCAGCTGAAGTTGCATCATAATTTTGAATGGCTTACGTCATTAGATGGGTGAATATATCATGGAAACTAGAGCCAATCAACATTTTTTAGGGTCATTTTCAGCCCAAAAAATTATGTAAGATTAGCTAATTTTATGCCCAAAACTTTTTACCTGTTGAACAGTGTTAGCAGCATACTCAGCTAGAGTAGTCAGGGAATAGCAGCTGTGAATCCATGAACAATGAACCCAATGCTTCTGGGTTCATTGTTACACTGAAAGGTATTCAGTCCCAATACAGGCACACCTCCCCCTCACTCTGACACTGAGTGTAGGCCTTCAGCGGTAGCTGGCCACTCCATAACGTCCACTTTCAAGTAAGGAGAAAGGAACGGCTCTCTGTTAAAAGCCTTGTGTATGTTTAGTGTATTACAGAAAGCTTATCCACCTATCCCACAAGCACTAACATGTTTCACTCCATCCAGGGCTTATTCAAAGGGTGGGGAACAAGGACTTTCTCTTGTTACTTAAAAGTGAGCATTTGGGTTAATTAATCACGGGGGGAATCAAGGAACAGATGTTCCCTAGATCACCTCCTGCTCTCTTAGTTATGGCCATTTACTGTGGGCACTGGTGGAGAGGGGGGGTGGCACCTTTGGACCCCTTTAAAAGTGATTGGATGGCTCTAACCACCACTGCAAGGAAGCATTTTTGTTTTCCCTGGAGTTCATCTTTAACTTGTCAAATGATCAACTTACAACCATGCAATGTAAAAAGCATGACACACTACTATTGTTAGCACACAACCTACAGATAAAAAGCCTGATTTACCTTGCGTGGCTTTTCTGGGGTAGGTGCATCTTCCACTGGAGCCTCAATTTCGCTTGCAGCGATCCAAGTGTCATAACTGAGAGAGAAAATGAATGTATCCATTAATAGCTATTACAATGCAATTCCCCCTAACACAGAGCAAACAAATTAGATAAGACATGAGAGATTGGTCTACAGGCAACATCAAACACCCCTTGATTCTTTAAAGATTGACAGAATGGAAAACCTTGTCTAATAATAAGCTGGCTGTTCCATCCTACTGCTTAATAGGTATAGACAAATACACACAGTCAAGCTAAGCCTACTTTTCTATAGGATAGTCAGGCAAGAGACAATCCTCAGGATGGGATCGTGCCTGCACATCAGACCACAATCATACCTCTATGGTTGGCTTACAAGTCCCAAACTAATAAAGAATGTTTTCCCTATTTTGAAACTACACCACTCATCAGAAATGAGCTTTAATTAATCTCCCAAATTTAATATGGCGCAAGCTGAATCCTTCCAGCCTGCTGTGATGTCCAACAATACAGGACTCTGTGCTATGATACAAGCTATATGAACTTGTGAACAAACTGCAAAGAAAACAATATGAGGGCATATTTATAAAGCAGCGAATGGGACATTCATTGCTGGTAAATCTATCACTAACACATGTAACAGGAAGATACATCTGCTGTGAATATTTGGTTCACATATATCTTAAAGCGGTTGTAAAGGTTTTTTTTCTTTTTCCTTAAAATAATAAGACCTTATACTTACCTGCTCTGTGCAATTGTATTGCACAGAGTGGTCTCTTACCTCCTCTTCTGGGGTCCTCTGCCAGCGCTCTCCACTCCTCCAAGCCGCGTGCTGTGGGGGCACTCGTGTACGGGCGTGTTCCCAAGCTGGGCTGTGTGCGTCCTAGATATACACAGTGGGGCTCGGTCCTGCCCTAGACTTCCTCCTCATAGGATTTGACTGACAGCAGCAGGAGACAATGGCTCCCACTGCTGCCTGTATCCCTGTGAGTAGAGGAAGAGGGGAGAGAAGTCCTGCAGCCAGCCAGGCACAGCGCTGGATCAATAGAGGGTTCAGTAAGTGTTTAGGGAAGGTGGGGGGGGAGCACGTAGCAAGACATTTTTGTACCTTAACGCATGGAATGCATTACGATAAACAATGTCTGGACTTAAGAATCACTTTAAATATTGTCTCTCTCAAAAAAAAAAAAAAAACTTTCACAATAAATATGAAAAATACATTTCATTGTCTCAGATTCCATTACTAGCAGTTGCAAGTCTAAAAAATAAATAAGCTTTGCAATAAAAAGGTTAATTGGGAATTTCTTTTTTTCATCAATGGGTTCTGTGACAGAGAGGTAGATAACTCACACCACGTGACAGCACTAGGCCAATTAGCACTGTTACATAGAGTCCATAGCCCTGTGTAAGCTCGTACGCCTTATAGCTCACACAGGACTTTCCTTTCATTCCTGCCTGAAAAGAGAAGGGAGTACAAGGAAGGTAAGCATATGCTAAGGGGAGAGGGGGAGGGATTAAGGTGAACATTGTCCTTGTCCTACCTGGGTTACTTTAGCATAAATCTTTCCAGGACCGAATGCTGTCCTGTAAGGCAGGGTGGATTTGATTTAAATCGTGATTTAAATCAGTTTGATTTAAATCACTAGTCAGTAAGGCTTGATTTAAATCCTAGTTTTCTACATAAAGACTAATTATTGCTGGTATAACTTTAATATGCAAGTAGATGAAGATTTTTAGAATAACTTTTCATATTAGTTTTTTTATCCCCAGTTTAATAGGTTAATCATTCATATTTGGACACCTTTTCTGTTGTACTTAGGAAGGAGAAAAATAATCATTCCCTTAATAATAACAATTTAAATAGATTTATTCAACTGAAACAATAACATTCCAGCATATGTTATTTGCTTAAACATCCATGTTTAACTAATTTGGCTAAACAATATATATATATATTTTAAGAAACTTAGACTGTCAGCCCCTTCCTCCTCACACTTAGTTTCACTTTCTTCTTGTGCAGATCTATTCCACTCCAAACAATCAGAAAAATATTGTTTCTATTCTATTCACTGAACTTCTTGAAACTTAGCACTGAAGGGTTGATTCTGTATTCATAGGTTTGTAGAAGTTAGGATTAAGGTCTTTCTTAACTCTGTTCATGTTATAACATTTTTGCTGTGAAGAAGAGGCATGTGATCTCCGCTGAGTCAAATTCAGTTTTGAGAACTGCAAAAGTAAACCAAGCATCTGTGATGAATATCTTGTAGGCAGAGAAACTGCCCAATAATCTTACAAAAACCTCTGGAAGAGCATGACATTGTGAATGGATTAATGGAATTTATTTACCAAAAAAATAAACACATACCGCCTTATTCTACATAATTAAAAAACGAATCTTTATTTCATGATGGAATAACCTTTGGATGGTAATATATTTTCCTCAAAAAGCATTTTATTTAAAAAAAATCCGATTTAAATAAAAAAAATCTGATTTAAATAAAATAAATCCGATTTTTTTGATTTTTTTTAAAAAAATCATTGATTTTCATCCACCCTGCTGTAAGGTAGATGGATTGCATGACTCTTCTCCCCAAACCCTTGAAGTTGGAAATATTCATCATGCAGCAGCAACAACAAGAGTAGGAGAACACAGAATACATAGGTGGCTTCTGTCACCTCATGGGGCCCACTAAGGTTTTCTTAACCGAATGCATAAGAAAAAAAGATTCAATTATCTCAAAGGATTCTGATTAAAAGGGTACATCCTAGCACTACCTTGTAAAAATGGCTGCTTCCAAAATGAAGATGATCAGGATTTTTTGTAAAACAAAGAAGGCCTATACTGACAAATCAGTATTCATGTTTGAATGATATTATCTTAGTAGCCAGAGAACTGCAAATTGTACATTGTTTTCTTTCTCTGCATGACTTTAATGAAACCTAGAGGATTATGCCTTTGAATCAACAAGATGGAATGAATGTGAGCAATGAGAGATTTTACCTGTCAGGATAGTAACCCCAGTGAAGAAGAACCTGCTTGTCACGCTTCAGTATGGGCCGCACCCATTCTTCTAAATGCAGAAAAGCATAATAAACATTAAGCACAGCTCTTCACTGGAATCAAGAGAATAAACATATATCAGGACGCATCTTAGGTCAGTGAGCATGAACTTCTTTCTCTTCACTGTGAATGCAGTGCCCTGAAACAAATATGGCACAAAAGTGGGAGGATAAAGATATCTTCTGTCCAAGTCTAAAGCTGTATAATAGTTCGACTTCTGTCACATAGAACCACTGGAAAAAAAACTTTATTTTGATCAGCTGCAGCGCTGATCAGTGTATTCTGACAGTGGAGAAGTCCCTCTGTCGGAATACAATAGCAGAGTGAAGAAGATTACTCAAGCCACCTTGCTTGTGTGGATGGGGAATCCATTTGATTGTTGTTTTTTTTTTACGTTGAACCCTCCAGCTAAATGATAAAAACTGAATGTGTATACACAGCTTAAAAAACTGCAGTTTCTTTTTTATTGTGATGTGACAGATGTTCTTCAACACTCAACTCTGAACAGACAGACCTCAGTGGTTCAAGTTTTTCATTCATTGCAAAATGTATTTGTTCTTAATCAAAGTATAAAAAAGTGAGGATATAAAACTGAGAAATAGAATTAGTCATAGTACTACTAATCTGTAGTGGATGATTCTTCTAACAGAAAATGCAAATGTTTTTGAGGCTCAAGGGTAAGGGAACCAATGTATGTTTCAGCAGCCAATCTCTCCAACCTAGAAGCCAAAAGGCACTTTTATAGGGAACTTATCAGGACAGAAATGTGAAGCCTCTATTACTGATTGGTCATCCTTATCCATTCTTAACAACTTTATTAGATAATAACCTGAACCAAGCTCCAACTCTGAGCATCTCCATTCTAGAGTCCACGGGGGCTTAATGCACAGGCATAACCAGTACTAAAGAAGATTTCCATTCAAAAAAAGTCAACAGCTGAGGAATCCACAGTTGTCATGCTGGGGAAAGCAAGCAGCTGGAATAGGGGTTTCTATGTCCTTTAATAAACCAGAAACATGTTATTCAGGACTGGACAAATCCAAGATGCCACAAAGCCAATGTTCATAAAAAATGACAACTGGGACCTGCAGTGCATTTCTAATCCTATATGAATTGCTGCCACTGTAAACTTGGAAGACCTTAAAATTGTCAACTATCTTCTATGGTGGACTATCTAACTCTTACACCCCTGAAATGATTAGATGCACATCAAGAAGACAGTAACCAAAAACCAATGAAAATGGTATACTGGCCAGACAGCAGAATGGAAAATATGAAAAATCTGGAAATGTACAATAGATGGTGAAAGTCATAGTTACAGTAACACAGAACTATTTTACATGGACAGTACTTTTTTGTGTACTAGCAGTAATATTCTGACCTTCCTCCAAGTTGCCAGGAACTGGAACCACCACATGGGAAGCGTGACTTTTGTCCTCTGTTACAGTACCCTAGAGAAGAAACAAGAAATGCTGCTTAACACGGAGAAAAGAAACCTAACACACAACAAAGTTCAGTGTAAGGATGAGTTAAAGTATATATTCAGCCAAAGAATAAGCAAAGGGTTAGAACCTTTGTCAGGTTTTTTTTTTATGTTTCCCCACTATAAATGATGCGGTGACCACACCTGAAGTGAGATGAATCTCCCTAATAGGGACACAGAAGTTTTTAACCCCAACTTAAAGAGTTATTTTACAGCTGGGCATCGTCCCTGGATAGAATTGATTCTGCCGACATGCTGACCAGTGGCCACAAAACTGATGGAAAATATCACTAATAATGACCCAAACACCAATAAACGAACATTTCAACTCTAACAAACACTATCCAAAACCACAAAGGTGTTTGAGGCAGAGTTCCACTTTAGGAAAACACAGCTTTTAGATCAAAATGTCTTAGCGGTGCACTGCCTATGGCTTCTTTCCCTGTAAGCTGTGACTCCACTGTAGGTACTAGGAGATCAGCTGATAAGCTGAAGTGTTCGCCAGTGAGGTCTGCACAGCACAGGGTAGGTGAGGAAAATACACTATATTGCTAAAAGTATTGGGACACTCCTCCAAATCATTGGATCCAGATGTTCCAATCACCTCCGTGGCCACAGGTGTATAAAATCAATGGCATGGATGAACACAATACAGAAATGGGAGTTCTTCAAAAAGACTGTATGTGAACACACTGCAAAATATATTCCTATGGGCAACACGTTTAAAAGGCTAACAATCATACCTAGGTGGCTAAGGCTACCTTCACAATAGCTTTGTTAGCAGGCATTAGACAGGCGTTTGGGAAGCGTTTCACAGGTTCACTTTAGCAGAGGTCACCCTTAGTCAAAACAATCAGCAAATATAAAAGTTGAGATCTGTACTGCCCCATCCCACTAATCTGTGAATGTGATAACCAGACCCAATGAACAATAGGAAGTTTCCTATATCTCTAGATATACTGATGGTTTTGACATGCGCTTTTTAATATGGTAACTTTTGCTTTAATCCTATGAGCAGTTAGAATTATCCAGATTTGTGACAGGTTTATTTTTCCATATGACAAACTTCAGAATCTTTTTAACCTCCCTAGCGGTCTGATTATGTCCATATTTCTGTGGAAAACACGAAATCATAAATTATAATATAATAAATAATAATAAAAAATAATAATAATATAATAATAAAATTTAATTCAATAATATAATCAAACCAAAAACACTGAAATTTTAAATATAGCGACAAAAGTTTGCACATCACTGAGGAAAGTCGCAAAATCGTTTTCAGTGTCTGATAATGAATTTCCCCACGAATCATTATCACTCAATTCTGCAAGTAGTTCTAATTTACTATCGCTGTTCTCTAGCTGGTCTAAAACCGCTTTTGACATAAAGGGACGCTTTTTGGATGTCATGGACATTTCTCAGTTTCCAGGCAGAAAGAACAGTAAAAATGCCGGCAGGGCACAGGACAAAGCATTAGGGACAACATGTATGTGAAATGGTTTGATACAATAATGTTTTACTATGTGATTTTAGTGAATTTAGTGAATGTCACTTTTTGTCATTTTCAAATTTCCCGCCGTTCCGTCCCCCGTACGTCCCGACGCTCGCAGGGGACGGAACCCAGATGACAGATGCCGGCATCCTCCAGATTACATTGCCGGGGACACTGCAGTAGGGACATCGCGGGAGCGCAGGACAAGGTAAGTGATCAAGGGATCGCGGAGCAGCGCCGCAAGGTAAGCCCGAGTGTAGCTCAGGGTTACCGCTTGTGGTACTGAAACTTTACCCCGAGCTACACTCGGGAATACCGCCAGGGAGGGTAACTCCTTAAAGAGGAACTTCACTCTCTCAAGCAACACTGACTATTTTTTATCCTTATGCTGCTAGCATTAGTAAATATTTAGGAAAGATTATATTTATTTGTTTTAAACTGTTTATTACATTTCTTTAGTTACTTCCTAGTTTCCATGCCTAGGCAAATGATGTCATACATCCCACGTGTTTTCAGGAGGGGAGGAGTTTTCTCAGCAAAGCATAAAATTCTTCCCCGTATGACTGAGCTAAGGGCAGATAGATTCCAGAAGTAATTGCTACGAGTCATCTGCCCTTACTCAAGATAGTCATGGCCAAAAATGATATGGGGTGTATTTCAAAGTGATTTCTCAAAAAAAAACAAAAACATGGAGACATGGAGGGATGAGGGAGTTTGCTTTGAATATTAAAAATAAATGAAATAGCACTTTTGGTTTGTGGTGCTCAGATACAATGTAGTTCCTCTTTGATGCCACTACCCAGCAGCCCTTTAATTGGGCTTTTGTGACCCAGGAGCTGGCATGGCTCACGAATCATGTGACTGCTCTCATTGGCTATCACAGCAGGCACATGATCAGCCCATCCTGTTGATTCACAACACAGTTCACCTCTGCAAACAACCTCCTGCCACAGTAAACACATACGTGCTGGGCATAAAAGCTCACCTTTTGCTGCCGCATTTATGCATTCACCAAGGTTTTAAAAACTTTTTGAGACAAAGAAGATGAACAAGTGTTGCACATCTTCTAAAGTATCTCCAACAAAAAGAACTACAGGTTTGTTAATTACCGAATGGTTAGATCAGGCTTTTTCAAACACAGTGCCAAAGCACCATGGGGTGCCTTGAGGTTTCTTCAGGGATGCCTTGACAAAATGCCCAAAACCTATATACAAGCCAGCGGGTGGATGAAAGCTGCCTTTTAGTTACACAAAGTAACAGGTTTTCATTGTTCACCATTACAGCTTTCCAGCACCCTGCGTCCTAACAACCAATTACATCACCGGTTAACAAGGAGGACGCTGGGCACCTGTATAGTATCCTTGTTTGGCCTTTCCCTGCCCCTTTCCATCAGCAATGGGGTCACATTAGCTGAGTGACAGAGAGAGAAACAGAGAATACTAGTCAGTACCATTGTGCAAAGTTGTATTTGCTTTGGAAGAATAAATCCCCCCTAATGTTGGGTGTTCTACGTGTGTGGATGCTGCTGTGGTACATAAAACTATTAGTTTAGTTTTTTGCATTTTAAATGGGGTGCATTTGTGCAGAGTTTTAAAGGGTGCCTTAACTGAAAAAAAAGTTGAGAAACACTGGTTTAGATCATTAAAAAAATCATACTGAAATAAAAACATATTTACCTGATGTCTTTTTACAATGTCCTTCAGCTTACTCTGTAGTTTGGAGTCTATGTCTGGATGAAGGTATATATTTGGTCGTGACAGACAATTATTCTGTTAAAAGAAAATAGTATAAATTCTACACAGTGTTTGTAAGGATGTAAGCAGAGAATTACACGGACTGATGTCTTATGCTAATAAAAATAACATTAGAGAAAGAAGCAAAAACAAAAAACTGACAATTAACCACTTCCCGCCCGCCTTCAATGTACTGCGGTCGGGCGGCAGCTACAGGCAAAGCGACGTACCCGTACGTTGCTTTGGCTGTACAAACACAAGGGGGTTCTGCTCACCCAAGCGGGCACACCCCCCCCCCACTACTGGTGTGTCCAGCAGACACAGCGGAATGAAGATCTCAGTGAATGGGACCCGGTGATCGTGTGATCGCTATGCGATCACATGATCAGTATGTAGGCAAAGCTGTTATGAATCAATGTCATTCATAACAGCTCTGCTTCTCTTCCTAGTGAGCTGTGATTGGCCCACCGCTGTCACATGATACACATGGGGGTCAATCATAGCAAAGTGTACCATGTGACCCAGCTCCAGCCAATCACAGATCACTATCTCCTGAGCTGTCAAAACTCAGTTCATGAATGAGTGACAGTTCATGAATGAGTTAGGTTCTGATAGCAAGCTTTGCATTGCAGGAGAAATGATCTTAATTTCTCCTGCAAAGCAAAGTGTAAAAAAAAAACCCTGACCACCCCCCCCCCCCCCCCACAGTAGTACAATGTTACTGTGGTAACACTGTACTATTCTGATAAAAGTATAAAAAAAAAATAATATTAAAAATGTAAAAAAAAAAAAAAAACAAACCCATAATGAGAATTTAAAAAAAAAAATTTTTTAAGAGTTTTTTTTCTTAACTACTTGCCAACGCTTACCCGCATATTGCGGGTGAGCAGCAGCACTTGGCAAAGCAACATAATCATGTGTCGCTTCCTATTTTTGGGTGTGAACTCACCTGCGCCCCCCACTGTCCCCCCCCCACCCGTTCATCCAGGGAGAGAATAGAGAACATGGCACTGAGTAAAAGAACCAGTACATTTTACACGCATGCGTTAGATTAGCACATGTAAACCTTTGATCGCCCCTAATAACCCTTTGATCACCCCGTCACCCAACCAGTGCCACTAATAGTGTCAGTATATAGAATTTTTCACTGATCACTGCATTCCTGCCACTAGCAACATCAGATAGCGCCAGGGTCAGTTAGCGCCCCTCCCAGCCAGGGTCAGCTAGTGTTAGATTGCCCGCACACTATCTCACTCACGCTATAGGTCGCTCATCACCGCCATTACTAGTTTAGTGTTTGTACGGATCAATATATTGATCATGAACAGAACTATACTAGTGCCTCCTTTGTAAAGTGTCCACAAAAACGTAGTGTTAGCAGGATCGGCCCCATTCGCTGCCAGCAGTAGCGTTTAGCTCCTCCGCTGTTTTTCATGGAAGATTTGTATCAATTGATTGTGGGCCAAGGCAATTTATAAGCACAACAATACATGGCCAAAGTGGATAATAGTGAGCACTCTTAAATAAACACAGCAGCTAGAGCACCTAAGGCAACCACAATGCCTTTAAATGTAAATATAAACGAAGGTAATATGGTGCAGCGCTAAAAGAATGAAACTGAAAACAGTCAAAAGTCAATGTAATAATATCCGTGATTTCTTATAAAGGGTGCAAACTTCCAAAGCTCTTGCGGCCTTAAATAATAGCAATGCGCACTCACCAGAAACGCATGGGTTATGCGCATGTAGGAATAATCATTCCAGATGTCAGATCCTCCAACATTCAGATGGCGAGCATCCCTCTCACGGTGGGTCACCGAAGACTCAAAGCCGGATCCTGAGTTCCCTTTAAGGTCAATCAGGCACTTCACATTGGTGGTGAGACTCTCTCCTTTGAATGGTAGTGGCACCTTTTCAGTCCCTAGATGTGGCGGCTGCACTTGCCTTCCCCTTTGGCTTCCTTTCCTGTATTTTCACCTGGTGATTCGGCAAGCAAATCTGCTGTTTTTCAACAGAACAAGCCCCCTGCAGCTCTCCCGTCTGTTGGTTCTCAGCGTCCAGGAGCGTCAGTTCTGCTGAAATAAAACCAATGCTGCGCAGCGCCTCTCCGACCTCCCCTGTAACCGATCTCCGATCCCGCCTCGCACTGAGCCCGGTCCCGCCTAACTGAGCCCGGTCCCCAGCGGGACCGGGCTCAGTGCGAGGCGGGATCGGAGATCGGTTACAGGGGAGGTCGGAGAGGCGCTGCGCAGCATTGGTTTTATTTCAGCAGAACTGACGCTCCTGGACGCTGAGAACCGACAGACGGGAGCTGCAGGGGCTTGTTTCTGTTGAAAAACAGCAGATTTGCTTGCCGAATCACCAGGTGAAAATACAGGAAAGGAAGCCAAAGGGGAAGGCAAGTGCAGCCGCCACATCTAGGGACTGAAAAGGTGCCACTACCATTCAAAGGAGAGAGTCTCACCACCAATGTGAAGTGCCTGATTGACCTTAAAGGGGACCTCAGGATCCGGCTTTGAGTCTTCGGTGACCCACCATGAGAGGGATGCTCGCCATCTGAATGTTGGAGGATCTGACATCTGGAATGATTATTCCTACATGCGCATAACCCATGCGTTTCTGGTGAGTGCGCATTGCTATTATTTAAGGCCGCTAGAGCTTTGGAAGTTTGCACCCTTTATAAGAAATCACGGATATTATTACATTGACTTTTGACTGTTTTCAGTTTCATTCTTTTAGCGCTGCACCATATTACCTTCGTTTATATTAACAATACATGGCCGCCCACCCAAATTCAGCTCTTTCCAGGCAATTTGCATGGAAACCTATCACGGTTTCTGAATTTAAAACTCTTTTAGGCCTGACCCTCAAAATGGGCATTACAGAAAAGAATGAATTGCGATCATGTTCATCCACAGAGTCAATTCATCGTTTGCCTGTGTTCTCTGCTGTTACATATATGACCAACATGGACCAGACCAGCAATGTACTGGTACGTCACTGGACTACAGGCATCATCCTGATATTGTTTTTTTTTCAGCTGTGGTCGGCTTTCATGTAAAAACAACCCTAGTGGCCAATTAGCTGCTGAATGTGTTTTTACGAGTAGCAGGAAGGGACATCACCTCCTGCTGCCTTCCCCAGTTTTCTTGGGCTCTCCTGTCCCACAGGGGAATCCGAGAATGCAGCCAGCAGTTCCGCTGGCTGATCATAGAGCTGGTCAGAGACTAGAATGGTGCCAATCGTCTCTAAAGTCTACGAAATCGGAAGCTATGAGCATTTCATCACTTCAGTTTTGCAGGATATAAAAAGCGCCATTTGTAAATTGGGAAAGCATCTGATCACACAGATCTTGGTGAGATTAGATAATGTAAGGACAGAGGAGATATCTAGAGTCTGATAGACCCCAGATTTCTCAAAAAAGAATATATGACAATGCCCATTGAAGTTATATGGGAAATTTGCATTCCCTGTGAAAGCATTAAAAGTGATCAGAAAAAAAAAAAAAAAAAAAAGGAAAGGGACAGTGTAAAAATAAGTTTAAAAAGTCAAAATAACTGAAAAAAAAAAAAAACCCCTCCCCCCTGCGTGAGCACCTGCGTGTGAAGCATTGACCCCGTGCAAACAGTGGTTGCACCATGCATGTGAGGTATCGCTGCGAACGTCAGATTGAGGGCAGTAATTCTAGCACTACACCTCCTGTGTAAATATAAATTGGTGACCTGTAAAGGCTTTTAAAGCATCACCTATCAATAATAAAAATGTATGTACAGCTTTGTTGACATTGCATGGGCATGCGCAATTTTAAAGCATGTCATGTTTGGTATCTATTTACTCAGCGTAACATCATCCTTTTATACTTTATCAAATAATTGGGCAATATATTGTGTTTTTGTGCATTAAAATTGTAAAAAGTGTACTTTTTCCAAAAGATTTGCTGTTGAAAAATTGCTGCACAAATACTGTGTGACGTAAAAAATTTCAACACCCACCGTTTTATTCTCTATGGCCTCTGCTTTAAAAAAAATACCCTGTTTCCCCGAAAATAAGACCTACCCCAAAAATAGGACCTAGTACTATTTTTGGGAATTGCTGAAGTATAAGACCTACCCTGAAAATAACACCTAGTTGTGATCAGCTGTTCCACCACCTCTGGCACTGGCCCTGTGTACACCAATCTACTGTCTCCTATAAACACAGAAGCGTGGCTTTTGTGTTTCCAAGTAACAATCCCTCTTGTAAGTAACAGCACCATCCGCTCCCACAGAACCCCCCTACCTCTGTACTCACTGTGGGACAGGGAAGGAAACAGATATCTGCGGGTGCAGTGTGTTTAGGGGCAGGGCATCTCATCCTGCAGCGTAATGCATGGAAACCAATGCCCCAGGGGATGATCATTGGCCAGTGAAGAAGAGGCAGAGTGGTGAGTGCGCTTGATGCACTGTATAGGAAAATAGGACCCGAAGCTCACTTCTGAAGCTCACCCCTGAACCCTCTGTGTGGCTCATCTCTGCACCCTGTTTGAAACTCACCTGTCAATTCATCTCTGCAACACCTGACTGCAGCTCGCAACTGTCTTCTGTCATCAGCCGGCCCTCTCTATAGTAACCTTCATCCACAACTGCCTGCAGCTCATCTCTGCACCCCCTGTCCACACCTGTACATTAAAAAAAATAAGACCTACCCCGAAAATAAGACCTAGTGTGTTTTTTTTGAGCAAAAAAAATATAAGACAGTGTCTTATTTTCAGGGGAAACACGGTATATAATGTTTGGGGGTTCAAAGTAATTTTCTAGCAAAAAAACAGTTATTTCATGTGAACAAAAAGTGTCAGAAAAGGCTTGGTCTTCAAGAGTGGGTGATGTGTGGCATAAGCTTCTGATGTTGGCCCTGAAACACCAGGAAGTAAAAGCAACCCCTCCAATGACCCCTTTTTGGAAAGTAGACACTCCAAGGTATTTGCTAACAGGCATGGTGAGTGTTTTGCAGATCTAATTTGTTGCCACATGTTTTTTGGAAAATGAAGAAAGAAAGCAAAAAAAAATATTTTTTCTTTTCTTTTTTCAAAACCCTGTGACAAAAATAATATCTGTAACATACTCACCATGCCTCTTATCAAATTCCTTGGGGTGTCTACTTTCCAAAAATGGGTCATTGGAGGGGGGGTTGTACTATCCTGACATTTTAGAGCCTCCAAAACTGTGATAGGTAGTGGGGAAGTGATATGAGGAAAGCCTGGAGGTGGTCATTGGATTTTGGGGGCTTGTATGTAGATAGGCTGCCAAAAAGTCTCTCATATGTGGTATCCCCATACTCGGGAGAAGTAGAAGAATGTGTTTTGGGGTGTTATTCCACATATACCCATGGCATGTGTGAGCAATATATCATTAAAGTGTACAAAAAAAAAACAAAACAAAAGCAAAATTGTCATATTCAAAAAATTTGTGGCAAACAATAAAATGTTCCATGGACTCAACATGCCCCTCTTCAAAAACCTTGGAGTGTCCACTTTCCAAAAAGGGGCCATTTGGGGGGGGGGGGGGGGGGGGTTGTACTGCCCTGGCATTTTAGCACCTCAAAAAATGTGATAAGCAGTCAGAAAGTAAAAGCTACGTAAATTCCAATATATATATACCATAGTTTGTAGACGCTATAACTTTCACACAAACCAATTAATATACATGTATTGAGATTTGTTTTTATCAAAGACATGTAGAAGAATACATCTTAGCCTAAATTTATGACTAACTTTGAGTTTATTGGATATATTTTATAACCAAAAGTTAAAAATATTGTTTTCTTGGTCAAAATGTTCGGTCTTTTTTTTGTTTATAACGCCAAAAATAAAAACTGCAGAGGTGATCAAATACCACCAAAAGAAAGCTCTATTTGTGTGAAAAAAGGACATAAATTTAGTTTGGGTACAGCATTGCACAACTGCACAATTACCAGTTGAAATAGCGCAGTGACGAACAGCAAAAAATGGCCTGGTCAGGAAGGGGGGTAAATCCTCAGGAGTGCAAGTGGTTAAAGGAAATCTGTACTGAACAATATGTGGAGGCTGCCACTGTTGGCCTTCTTCTGAAAATGCTGTTTTTTTCTGTCTCTGGCTTCAATTATTTCTGAGTCACTGATCTAGGACAAGCATGTAAATTAGGAAAAAATAGGATAGGACTCCTGATTTTCATTATTTCACTTTGACTCAGAGTATTTAAACTATTAAATTAGTTAAAAACCAAGGCAATTAGCATTTTCAAAAGGAGCAATGGCAGCCTCTACACTTCCTCAGAACAGAAAATCAAAATATAGGTGGAACATAAACATTAATCAGATTCAAAGGAAATTATTTTAAGTGTAACAGAAATCCCATGTTATATCAAAAAATAAGAAAATGAAAGCCGGCAATACCTGCACAAGAGACTTTTCAATGTTCATGAACATTTCCACATTGCGGTCCATACGAGATGGGTTCTGAAAGTCAAACCTGCGCCTGAGATGTTATTAAAAAAAAGAGGAGACAACTGAATTACTGTCATTATTGTGAATATGAAACCTCCTATCCAAAACAAATTCTAAGTAAAAATTCTGAGTAATTTATTCAAGATCCAGCTATGTAAAAGGAAAATAGACAGGGCTTCCCCCAACACAACCCTAGCAAGTTTGACAGCTTAAAGAGTTACTAAACCCAGGACCCTGCATTCACTATATCTGGTCTCCCACAGTACACACTACATGGAAGTGTAATCATTTTAGTACATATAAACCGCTAAATACCTTTTCTCATCAGCAATTAGAGCAGTCTTGTGACTTCTGTCAGTGTCCAGCCCAGCACATGTTAAAGCTTGTAGGAGGAGTTTTCTTTCTGCTCTTGGAGGATGCAGAACCCCTGACTTCTGTCTGGACAGTGCTGATTGGCCCTGTGCTGATCACATGCACTCTCCCAAGCAAAAAAAAAAAAAACCCCTTCCTAGCAATACACACCAAACTGAGCATGTGCAGAGTGACTCCACACGATATGTCTTATCAGGAGATAAGGGGGGGCTCACTGGAAGAAGGGAAGGATCAGAGAAGTCAGGATCAAACAGTGTTTTTACACAATGCGAAGATTAACCCCTTAGTGAGCATAGCACAGTGAGTATAACAATCATGCTTTACTGAATATACAAACTGATTTTACTGTTGTGGGTTTAGTAACACTTTAACACTACAGATGCACTCAAAATTGAACAGCCTCATTAAAGACGAAAGAAAAGGGTTTCTGAGCCAGAACAACATTGTGACAAAAAAACAAAGAGATAACAAAATCACTGAAGTATACAGCTGCGCAAAATTATAGCTGAAATCTGGGCTGATAAAAAAGACCCAAATCAATGCAGCTCTGTATTCATTAACAAATTCTATTTTAATACTGCTAATGTGGGTACCTGGATTTGGAGCCTCTAAAACCCACTGTACAGAGGGCTCTGGCCCTCACCCCTCTGGTCCCCAGAGTACTCCCCACTTTTCTGCCCTTTCATTCTGCAGGGCTTCCAGGACGGATCTGGGTGATTATGATTGGTCAGAGATGGCACAGAACATTGCTCTGATATACTCCAGAAGCCATGCAGAAAGAAGAGGGAGAAATCACAGAACCACTGCTACAGCTATAGGGAGTTGGTTCACTTTTTCATTTTTTTATGAAAAGCTAAACTAACCCTTTATGGGTAAATGAAATCTAAACTTAATTAACTGTCAATGATCCACATCATTCAAATACATGATATTAGTCTCTCTCATTATTTTAGTGCCCCTTTATACAAGTATAACCACCTACACTTATGGTGCTCAGAACTATTTTCTATTATTCAATTCAGTTTTTCTGAGACTAAATTTTGAAAATGTGACATCATTACTTTTTCTTCACTTACAATCTGCAATATGCATGATTTCCTTACTTCGTACCATCCTGGATCTGTAGCCACACTAATGCAAACTATAAACAATATAGGTTGCGTGAGATGATATTTTGCAGATGTTTCTTGTTTGCATGTTGTATGCTTCGATGAAACCAGTTATTAACATGCTATTCACTCAGCTACCCCCTCATCATCACCCCTCTCCCACGGCCCCACCACTGCTCTGACCTCCACTCCCCCCCCCACATTCCTCATACTGAAGCTCCCCCAACACTCCGCACCTTTGACCTTACTACCATTGAGGAAGTCTCCAAGATCCTCTCTGATGCCTGCCTCACCACCTGCCCCCTCGACCCTATCCGCTCACAACTCCTACGACCTCCCTCCCCCTCCATCCTACGCTCCCTCACCCACATCTTCAATCTCTCCCTCTCCTCAGGCACTTTCCCCTCCCCTCTGAAACATGTACACATCACCCCCATACTTAAAAAGCCCTCCCTGGACCCCAATGACCCGAAAAACCTCAGACCCATCTCCCTGCTCCCATTTACATCTAAACTCCTCGAGCGCCTCGTCTACACCCGCCTATGCTCTCACCTCAACGACAACCACCTCCTTGATCCCCTACAGTCTGGCTTCCGTCCCCTACACTCCCCCGAAAACCGCCTTACTCAAACTCTCCAACGACCTTCTAACCGCCAAAGCTAATGGCCACTATTCAGTGCTCCTACTCCTTGACCTCTCTGCGGCCTTCGATACAGTCGACCACCCCCTCCTCCTCAAAAAACTACACTCCCTCGGCCTCAGAGATTCTGCTCTCTCCTGGCTCTCATCCTACCTGTCACAACGCTCCTTCAGCGTTACCTATAATGCTACCACCTCCCACTCACTCCCCCTCTCTGTTGGGGTCTCTCAAGGCTCTGTCCTGGGCCCCTTCTCTTCTCCATCTACACCTCCTCCCTTGGCCAACTCATACATTCTCACGGCTTCAACTACCACCTCTATACCGACGACACACAAATCTATCTCTCAACCCCCCACCTCACCCCCTCGGTCTCCGCCCGAATCACACACCTACTGAGCGACATATCAGATTGGATGTCGCTCCACTTCCTTAAACTGAACCTCTCCAAAACCGAGTTTCTTGTCTTCCCCCAGCCCGGACCCTACCCCCCATTGACTTCTCCATCACATCCAACAACGCCAATATCAAACCTGCCCTGCAGGCCAGAGTACTTGGTGTCATTCTGGACTCCAACCTATCCTTCCAGCCCCAAGTCCAATCTTTAACTAACTCGTGCAGACTCCACCTCCGCAACATCGCCAAAATACGCACGTTCCTAACCCCAGAAACCACTAAACAGCTCATCCACTCCCTCATCGTATCACGACTCGACTACTGCAACTCCCTCCTCACTGGCCTGCCTCACCGCTGGCTATCCCCGCTTCAGTCGATCCTGAATACGGCTGCCAGACTCATTCACCTTTCCAACCGCTCCGTTTCACCCACCCCCTTCTGCCAATCCCTCCACTGGCTTCCGATTGTGCAACGGATCAAATTCAAAATCCTAACACTGACGTACAAAGCCGTCCACCACACTGCCCCGAACTACATCACTGACCTAATATCTAAGTACCGCCCAGCACGCACACTCCGCTCCTCACAAGACCTCCTTCTCTCTAGTTCCCTGGTCTCTCCTCCTCCCATGCCCGCCTTCAGGACTTCTCCAGGGTGTCACCCATCCTCTGGAACTCCCTGCCCCAACCCATCAGATTATCAACTACTCTCTTCTCCTTTAGGTGCACCCTGAAAACCCATCTCTTCAGGGAAGCCTACCCCACCCAATGCTAACTTGACCGACCTCCTCCACTCTTCCCACCACTCCATCCCCCACAGCTATCTCCTCCTGTGCCACCATCCCCGCCCTCCTAGATTGTAAGCTTGAAAGAGCAGGGCCCTCAATCCCCTCATGTTTTGCATTGTATTGGTATTGTTCTGTCACATGTTCTGTCCCCCTTTGTAATGTACAGCGCTGAGCGAACTATTGGCGCTTTATAAATACTGTATAATAATAATAATAATAATAATTTACTAAAATGATGCTACTGTGAATCCTAGCTCCAACGCAGATATCACTATCTGGAAAATTGTTCAATAAATATTACTTAAAGTGGTTGTAAACCCATAGCTGTAGTATACTGCTGGTTATCAATACTTAGATGTGGTAGCTACATTAGTTTTCCTTTAGTTAGGCTTTTTCCCTCCGTTTTCACCTGGTGATCTGACCAGTAACACAACTCCTGTATTAGATTGCCACCACTCTGGATGAGGGAGCACAGGAGCATCTTTGGACAGCAGAATTGTCAGTCTGGGGGGAGGAGGATGTTAGAAGTGCTAACAGATTTAGATATACTAGCAAATTGAAGCCAAACTCCAGTCATACTGCATTTACACAACCACTTACAGAAACAGTTTTTTTTTCCCTTTTGGGATAAAGGGAAAAACTAAAACTGCTCATTGTAACTATCCCTGTCAATGGTAAATGGTTTGTTTCAACACTCTTAACTAATAAAACATTACTTACTGGCTGCACCACCAGGTGTAAATAAAATAAAGAAAGCCTAAAAAAGAAAACAAATGTGGCCATCAAATCTAAGAATTGGTAAGCTGCAATATAATGTTTGCTTTTGGGGTTAGAACAACTTTAATTTAAAAAAGGAAATATCCTATAAATACATGTACAGTATGTCCAGTGTGAATGAAGCCTTAAGATACAAGACAATATATTATTATTATTATTCTTACCATCCCTGGTCACTCTTAAATTTATAAGCAGCAGCAAGAATATGGCACAGAGCACCTCCCACCTTGAAATCTAGAAAGCATTTCATCTGCAATGCAAAACAGTAAATAGAATAAGCGCACACTGCATAATAGATTGTAAACTAAATATATTAGTTGCACATACACAATACTTCTTAGTACTCGTGTTCCAGAAGCAGTAAATCTCATAACGTGGCTTTTTTCTTTACCCAATAAAAGAAAACTAGTCGAAAAAAGTGGTATATTCTTGTTTTAGTGCTGACTATACAGATATCACTTTGCACATCGTATTGCTGTCAGAGCTGAAACCACCGGACTAATCCAAGGAACTCGGTGGACACTGCCTGATGAGGTGGATAACATAGTGTATTGCACACAGCTCACCAAGTAATTGCCAACACATAGGAGGGAATTTTGTTCAAATAATATGCAAAACAATATATATAAAATTAAACTTCAGGTAGAACTGAAAAAAAAAAAAAAACACTTTTAGGTAGAGTAGCCCTTTAAATCTCTCACTGCATGGTAAATTTCTCCAAAATCAGGATTTTGGTTAAGGAGGCCTTTACATTGCCATACTTTTCTCACTTTTCAGACATCATCCAATGTTGCTCCAGCTACAGCAGCATGTACAAAGTTTATCAATTTTGGTTAGGGAGAACTTTTCATTGCTATACTTTTCTCACTTTTTGGACACCCATCCAATGTTGCTGCAGACACAGCAGCATATACAAAGTTTAGCAAGGCTACCTTTTCTTAAAAGTAGCAGAACCACATTATTAACTCTTATGGTTTGTTTTTTCTGATACATGATATTAACCGCTTAAGGATCGCCCTATAGCAGATACACTGCTACAGGGCTGCACCTGTGCGCAGAATCATGTATATATACAGGATTTTGCATTTCTGGGTAGGGGGCACGTGCCCTACCTGCACTGCCATTCGCAGCTACGGATTTCAATCACCAGGTCCCAGCCGGTAATTACCTGCCGGCGCCTGGTGATTACCTCGCATTTCCGATGGGGAGGAAGATTGTTTTGCTTACAATATTTCTCCCTGTCAGCTTGAGCACATTGCGCGGGATGGCTGTGCACAGTACAGCCATCCCGTTCAGTGTGCTTACAATGAAGAACACGCCCCCTAGTAAAACACTTCCAGCACACAGTTAACCCTTTGATCGCCCCTCACATTAACCTCTTCCCAGTGCCATTAGTACAGTGTCAGCGCTTTTTTTTAGCACTGATCACTGTATTGGTGCCACTGGGGTGTCAGTGACACCAAGTTAGTTCCCCCCCAGTGTCAGAATGTCTGCCGCAGTCCCGCTAAAAGTCGCTGATCACCGCCATTACTAGTAGAAAACAAGAAATCCCATTATCTATACCGCCATTTTTTAAATGCTATAACTTTCACGTAAACCAATTTATTTACACGTATTGGAATTTTTTTCAGCAAAGACATGTCTCAGAATACATTTTGGCGTAAATTTACGATGAAATTTGCGTTTTACATTTTTTTACTGGACATGTTTAATAGCGAAAAGTCCAAAATATTGTTTTTTTTCTCAAAATAGTTGGTCTTTTTTTTGCTTATAGCGCAAAAAAATAAACAACGCACAGGCGATCAAATATCACCGAAAGTAAGCTCAATTCGTGGGAAAAAGAGGACGTAAATTTCATTTGGGTACAGCGTTGCATGACCGCACAACTGTCAGTTAAAATTAATGCAGCGCCGTAACACAAAAAAATGGCCTGGTCATGGAGGGGGTAAATTCTCAGGAGGGAGAGTGGTTAAAGAATGTCTAGCGGAAAATAACAAAAACTATTTGAGCATAAATACAAACCATAAAGCTACCTGTATTCTTAATTTTCATTTTCTTCCAGTTATAAGGGACAACCCAATATACAATAGTCTTCAGCACCTGCAAAGCGCACATCCATGTAGTCCAAAATGGGAACTAATAAAACAGTCAGCTTGGGCTTGCATTTCTCCGACTATTCCCAATACCTGCTGGACAGGCCGAGCCCAATGTGGTGCATTCCTTCACATATGATGGCAAAGCCCTGAAATCAAATCCTATTGGGATTCTATTTGTTTTGATAGGAGATACACTATATTGCCAAAAGAATTGGGCCAGCCCTCCAAATCATTGGATTCAGGTGTTTCAATCACCTCCGTGGTCACAGGTGTATAAAATCAAGCACCTAGGCATGCAGACTGCTTCTACAGAATTTGTGAAAGAATGGGTCGCTCTCAGGAGCTCAGTGAATTCAAGCGTGGTACCATGATAGGTTGCCACCTATGCAATAAGTCCATCTGTGAAATTTCCTTGCTACTAAATTTTCCTTGGTCAACTGTTAGTGGTGTTATAACAAAGTGGAAGTAACTGGGAACAGCAACTCAGCAACGAAGTGGTAGGTAAAATGACAGAGCAGGGTCAGCGCATGCTGAAGTGCACACTGTGCACAAGTCACCGACTGTCTGCAGAGTCAATAGCTAAAGACCTTCAAACTTTGTGTGGCCTTCAGATTAGCCCAACAACAGTGTGTAGAGAGCTTCATGGAATGGGTTTCCATGGCCGAGCAGCTGCATCCAAGCCTTACATCACCAAGTGCAATGCAAAGAGGCAGTAATGTAAAGTACACCGCCATTGAACTCTAAACAGTGGAGACATGAAGTCTGGAGTGACAAATCATGCTACTCTGTCTGGCAATCCGATGGACATGTCTGGGTTTGGCAGTTGCCAGGAGGACAGTAGAACCTGATAGAACTCCTATGGAATGATATAGAGCAGAAACTGTGAGCCAGGCCTTCTCATCCGACATCAGTGCCTGACCTCACAAATGCTCTTCTGGAAGAATGGTCAAACATTCCCATAGACACACTCCTAAACCTTGTGGACAGCCTTCCCAGAAGAGTTGAAGCTGTTATAGCTGCAAAGGGTGGGCCAAATCAATATTGAACGCTACAGACTTAGGCTGGCCATACATTATACAATTATCTGCAGATTTTCTGCCCAATTTCCTTTAGATTTACCTTCAACTATGTAGTGCAAGGGCCTGCCTAATTGGATACAACTGAAAGTGTTGTTTAGGTTTGTCCTCCTATTATATGGTTTTTGGTAAATCTAAACCAAAAATCTGCAGATAATTGTATAACGTATGGCCAGCCTAAAGATGCCATTAAAGTTCATTGCGTGTAAAGGTAGGCGTCCCAATACTTTTGGCAATATAGTGTATCACAGCTGACCAACTAACTGTTATTTTTCATCTGACCCTCTCCTCTACCAAACAATACAAGCACTTTGTTACTAACCCCTAATAAAATCTACAGAGGAATTAATCCCCCTTCACTAGAAACAGGATCAAGCTCCACTGATCCCTTAATAGATTACCAAAGTTAATGAGATTATGAGATGAGTCCATGACAAATGTTATCAAATTTAGGCCTCGTGGCTGCAATTTGCCTCCTCAGATACCGACACATGGGTCATAATTCAGATAGGTAACTGTTGATAAAATGGTTAGGCTTGCTGGACAGTGCAGCTCCTACATTTTGCCTGTTAACAATTCTAAATTTAATCTGATCCAAGTGCTGCCATTTTTTTCTGCCCTAAGAACCTTCCCTGCCTGGGCACAGACCACAAGTCTAGAGTCTTCTTATTCCCACACCCTTTTTTTCCTTTTTGTTACCCTCTGTTTGTTTTGATGGGTTTGTTTCATTCCATAAACCAAGATAGGGAAAAGAAGTAACGCTCATACATATTTGACATATAACAAAGCTTTATTATACAAATGGAAATTGTATAATGGCATTCAGCCATTACATTGTAATGTCCATTTAACCAACCTTGTTTATTAAAGAAGGATTACATATATAAAAAAGAGTATACTTGCCGGCAGTTTAGTGAGCGGTGCATTGCTGACATGTTTTCCAAACACCTCTTCTTGAAATTGTAACAGCTGAACTACCAGGCTTGACAAGGACTTATTAGTAGGAGGCTCAGCCTGAATGTACTGCAATGAAAAACAGACGACAATGGTATTAAAATCCTTATCAGTCATGTGATATTAGCCAATCACGGAACAGTACAAGCCTAGAAATCTTTAGTAGTCACCTTTCTGCATTATATAAACCTTCAATGATAAATGGGTGAATCCAAAAAATACTGAAATTCCCGTTTTAGGTAGATACCAATAGGTCACATTATTGGCCGGCTTACTTCATTTCATAGGCAGACAATGCTAAGGTCTCTGTGCTTGAAGTCCCAGTTCCCCCCTTCTGTCCTGGCCATTTTATGGGTTCTAATGTAGTCTGTTCCAAGTTTAAATTAGTCATCCATATACCAAAATGCAACTCAGAGAGTGAGACTCCACCATTGCAGGAGCTGGCTGAGCTAGGAACTCCTACTGAAGTGCCTAAAATTGCTGCATAACAAAGCACTCAACCAGAGTCTACCCAAATCGGAAGGAGAGGTCCGCAGAGGCAGCCTATAGTAGTTTTAATAAATTCCTTTATTCTTAAGCTGGCCATACACTGAAGGAGGCTGAACGAATAAAAATCCAACAAATTCCTCCATCCAAGCTATATAGAGCAGATACCTGAACAGATGCAGCCACTTTTTGGCTTACATTTTTTCAGTTGGATCTTCAGCAGGAATCGGATGGAATTTGCTCCGTGTATGGCCAGCTTTAGATGCAGTGATGGCCTTCATTTTCTTTTTTTATATCATCACCTGATAACACTGTGAATACTTTCTGTCTTAGATAGTTTCAAATCGCATGACAAATCGCAGCCCATTTGTCTGCAATTAAAGCAGCCATATCGGTGTGATTCCCATTTAGTTGGAGTCGCACCGATTTTGAAAGTAGTGCATGGACCACTTTTTCCAAGTTCAGGTGCGACCTGCATAGACATCTGTGTCCTGAAAGTTCCAGATGCCTTGCAAGTCGCACCTGAAGTCAATCTGACATCCAACTTTGAAATCATGTGACTTCACTGGAAGTCGCACGATTTCAAAGTCAAATTGGTGTGACCAAAAGCTAAGAGTGGCTACACTCACTCCTCTACTGTATCTATGGAGGAGCCATGGACAGAAGTACTGTCAACCACTGTCAACCAGTGGAATGTTAAATGTTAAATCTAGTAGATTTAGATAGTTTACCTATGTGGCTAACAAAGCCTAACTCTAGCTAAAACTTTTTTAAGCTTTTACAGAAACTTTGTACTGTATTGTCATCTTTGGACTACTGAGAAATGTAACCCCTTGTTGGCAGTCACTTCATTCAAAGGACACTGGAAACAATGATCTGCTAATGAGCTGAATGTCAACTAACTGTGAAATCTCTTTGCAGTAAAATACTGAAACAAAACTCCAGAAAACTAACTAAATACATACCAGTAACACATGTATCTTTTACCTGCCAGAAGATTTGTCATTTCGTACAGCTAATCTGGTAATGTACACACAATCTGGGGAATTAACTAAATTTCCTGCACCACTATTTGGCTGTTAATGGTGCAAGTGCTCCACCCACTGCAGTTTTTATTCAGCGTGCCCTAATTAACAGGGGGAATGTGGCAGTTTTCCATGGGGGCATGGTGTTTGACAGGAGGCAAGGATGGTACATTTAGCTGTTTTCAGGATATCTAATCTCCCCCTGGACTCATACAATTTTTTTTTTTCTAAATGCAGGTAAACGCACAGTGTGAATTAATACCATTTAAAATCATTATTTGCATTATATGTGTTTAGGAATGTCCTATAAACACATATAATCACTGGATTATCAATGTCAGTGCGAATGGGACCTAAACATACACGGTGTGTATTTAGCCATCTGCCTGAAATTCTACTTTAAAATTGCTCAAATAGCATAATCGGAGAACATAGTGTATTTGTGCAGTAAGCGATTAAAAGAGGAACCTCACCCTCAAAAATTGTATTTTAAATACCTAAAACTTGTCACTGTATTAAAAAAAATGTCTTACTAGTCCATGGAGTCCAGCGTGGTCTTGCTCGCAGGCAAAATTCTCCTTACATTGCTCTACTTCTGCGTCGCCATCTTGAATTGAGATCTGGCATATGCACAGACATGACATAGCTCTCTGCCAAGTCTATGAAACCTTACAGTGAGATCTACAGCATGTCTATGCATGTGCCGAATGTCCCTATGCATGTGTAGAACTGGCTTGTGTCTTCACCATTAATATGGCAGAGCCCCCACGTCATGTCTATGCATGCCTAAAATCTCATGAACTGCCTCCTGGGATATATGCAATGTAGCAAAATTGCAAAATTTTGCGCACATGCAAAAACACTGCAGGGGCTCTGCCATATTATTGATAAAGAACCAAGCCATTTCTACGCATGCACGGGCGTGCTTATCTCATTCTTGCCTTGGTGAGAATTATGGATATAAAGTAAAAAAGATGAAAACAAGCTACTTCCTTTTTTTTTAAAGAAAAAAAAATTGCAAATGTGTACGAATGATAGGCAGGAGAGATGATCATTAGGAAGGGAATGAGGATCTGCTTTAACATACCATGGGAATTTGTTTTAAAATGAATGGGCTGTCACACAATAAATGGCTTGATATACACCTGGATAACACACATACTATAAGTAAAAGAAAACGTCTAAGGCCTTACAGTTGACCATCCCCTCCTCCTCAAAAAACTCCACTCTCTTGGCCTAGGAGACTCTGCTCTCTCCTGGTTCTCCTCCTACCTATCGCAGCGCTCCTTCAGCGTTAACTCTGGCTCCTCCTCTCCACTTCCTCTTTCTGTAGGGGTCCTCAAGGTTCCGTCCTTGGACCCCTTCTCTTCTCCATCTATACCTCCTCCCTTGGTCACTTGATAAACTCCCATGGCTTTAAGTACCATCTCTATGCTGATGATAACACACCAATCTATCTTTCTACCCCTCACCTCACCCCTCAGTCTCCTCTCGCATTACTAACATACTAAGCGAGATATCGTCATTGATGTCACTCCACTTCCTCAAACTCAATCTTTCTAAAACTGAGCTCTTCGTATTCCCCCCAGCCCATGCCCCCTCCCCTGACTTCTCCATCAAGATCAATAACACAACCATCAGTCTCTTCCCTCATGCCAGGGTACTAGGTGTAATCCTAGACTCCCATCTGTCCTTTCAGTCCCAAATCCAATCGCTGACAAAATCGTGTAGACTTCACCTCCGCAACATCTCCAAGATACGCCCGTTCCTAACAACGGAAACCACTAAGCAACTTATTCACTCCCTTGTCATATCTCGCCTTGACTATTGTAACTCTCTCCGCATTGGCCTACCTCATCGCAGGCTATCCCCTCTTCAGTCTATCATGAATGCTGCTGCCAGACTCATCCACCTTACTAACCGTTCCGTATCTGCCACCCCTCTCTGCCAATCCCTCCACTGGCTTCACATTGCCCAACGGATAAAATTCTAAACATTAATAACATATAAAGCCATTTATAACACTGCCCCAAATTACATCACCAATCTTGTCTCCAAATGTCACCCAAACGTCCTCTACGCTCCTCACAAGACCTCCTGCTCTCTAGCTCCCTCATCTCCTCATCCCATGCTCATCTCCAGAGCTTCTCCCATCCTCTGGAACTCTCTATCCCAATTTATCAGACTATCGCCAACTCTGCTCACTTTTAGGCGATCTCTGAAAACCTATCTCTTCAGGGAAGCCTATCGTGCCATCATTAAATAATGGAATCTTCTACTCTTCCTACCGGTCCATCCCCCACAGTTACTACCTCTTGTACCACTAGCCCCTCCCTCCTAGATTGTAAGCTCCTAGGAGCAGGGCCCTCCTAACCCTCTTGTATTGAACTGTATTGTTGCTGTATTGTCTCCCGTTATATTGTAAAGTGCTGAACAAACTGTTGGTGCTATATAAATCCTGTATAATAATAATAATAAGGCCTTGTTCACACCCATGCAATTTGCGTTTTGTCTCTTTTGCAGTGCCTTTTGTGGTGCTTTTTGCATTTTTTTTCACATGTGTTTTTTTTTCTGGGGGCTAGCTTGTTGCTGTGCAGATTAAAAATGCAAAATGTGTCAAAAACGCATCAAAAACGCACTACATGCGTTTTCTGCAACATCTCCATTGCCGTCTATTGAACCAAAAACGCAAAGTTTTGCTTTTAAAAAAGTCCCTGACCTTTTCCAAAAACGCAGCAGCTGAAAAAAAGCATAGATGTGAACTTGTCCCATAGGAGACCATAATAAATGGACTGTAGTGCGTTTCTGCAAAAAGCACTAAACAAATGCATTGCTGTGAACCAGGCCTTAACCTTAATGAGCCGAATCAGGTTTCACTTTTTTTCTTCCTCCATGTGGTTTAAATGTCTCATTCAGACAAATGACAGACACGGGTTGTGCAGAGATCAGCGGGGATGCCTGTTGTCTCACTGAACACACTAGGTCAAAGGTAACTGAGGATTATATCCACATAGCCACGTGCTACTACCATACACCCGCTTGTAAACATTACACTCCAATCTGCCACTCCTCCCTTCACAATACACACAAATGGCAAAATACATGGACAAGCCATGATCAATGTGGGATGACACCGATCACTACACACAACTAGCCCTAATATCGGTTTACTTGTAAATATGACAATATACATATTAATTATGCATCAGCCTGAATCAATGTGCACCGGAAAAAAATTGTTATACAAACTTGTGAATTATATATAAAGTAGTCATCATATATGTTGGATCAGAGAATTATTTATCATGCATAGTGGATTATACATCATAATAGAAAGATTATAAATCAAGATAGGAAGATTATATATCATGGATGGAGGATTATATGTCATAATAGAAGGATTATTTATCATGGATGGACAATTGTATATCATGGATAAAGGATTATATATCAAGATAAAATGATATATCATGAATAAAATATTATGATAGAAGTATATATTGTGGAGGGGTAATTATATATCATGATAGCCTGACTATCGCAAATGGAGCATTGTATATCTTGAATAGTGAACTATATAACATAATAAAAGGATTATATATCATGATAGGATATATATATATATATCTATATCATGATTGGAAGATTACGCATGACAGGAGAATTTATATATATATATATATATATATATATATATATATCATGAATGGAGGATAATATATAAAAGAGGCATCATGGATGGTGGATTTTAGATCACGACTGTAGGAATATATATCATGATAGGATTATATATCATGATAGGAAGTATATATATATATATATACATACATATATATATATATATATATATATATATATATATATATATATATATAAAAAATATAATGGGAAGATTATATATCATGAATGAAGGATTGTATCCATGGATCATGGATGGTGGAATATATATCAAGACTGTAGAATTATATATCATGACAGAATTATATATCATGAATAGAGAATTATATATAAAAAAAAAGCATCATGGAAGGTGGATTATATATCATGATAGAATTATCTATCGTGAATAGAGGACTATATATAAATGAGGCATCATGGATGGTGGATTCTATATGATGACTGTAGCATTATATATCATGATAGGAGGATTCTATATCATGAAAGAATTATATATCATGAATAGAAAATTATATATAAACGAGGCATCATTGATGGTGGATAATAGATCATAACTGTAGCATTATATATCATGATATAATTATAGATCATGAATAGACGATTATCTATAAATGAGGCATCATTGATGGTGGATTCTATATCATGACAGTAGCATTATATATCATGATAGGAGGATTCTATATCATGATAGAATTATATATCATGAATAGAAAATTATATATAAACAAGGCATCATTGATGGTGGATTCTATATCATGACAGTAGCATTATATATCATGATAGAATGCTATATCATGAATAGAGGATTATATATAAAAGAGGCATCATGGATGTTGGATGAAATGTCATGCCTGTAGGATTATGTATGATATAGAAGATATAAGGCAGAGCAGTGTGTACATTCAGGATGACCCCCTCTTCCCCCTGTCAGGGTAAGTGAGGACAGCGGTCACATGGCAGGTGAGTGTACAGATGTGTGAACTGACAGGTGATGAGGGAGTGGGGGAGGGGTTATACATTTGGAGATGACAGGTGATGAGAGAGTGGGGGAGGGGTTATACATTTGGAGATGACAGGTGATGAGGGAGGGCTTATAAATTTGGAGATGACAGGTGATCATGTCACTCTGTGTATGGAGGGTGGTGATGACAGGCTCTCCTGTCTGGCAGAGATGAGGGATAGACTATGTGATTCATGTGTGGGTGTCAGGATGGATGGCTGGATGAGCACTGCTCCTGCGATCTATGATGATGATAGCGGGGTGTCGGGTCCCCTCGGGGATCTCCGGGGTGTATTCTGACATCTGGCCTCCAGTAGGCCCCACACATGCTCTCCTATAAGAGGAGATGGGCCGGGCACTGACCCCCTCCCTCCGGCCCCCCAGCACAGCGGGGTGTCAGCAGAGGCCATGCTGGCTGTCAGCTCTCCCAGTCCCCGGTGCCGCCGTTCCCCCTCCCCCTAGCCGGGCCCGGCTCTTTGTTCTCGGTGTACAGACAGGAAGGAGACGGCGCGGTTCTCGCCAGGACACCGGGCCCCTCCTGCTGGTACCTTCTTGTAGTTTTTTCCCAGCCATAGCCGCACGTTGTCGAACTGGGAGATAGTGTCAGAGGACTCATAAAATTTCACGTTCGGCCCGCCGTCCTTCTTCCGCACCGCCATCTTCTGCCAGCCTGACCGGCACCTTCACAGCTACAGGCAGGCGACATCTAGCGGCCGCACTGCAAACTGCCACAGTTTGCAGTGCGGCCGGAACCCTGCGAGAGCGACACGTTCGGCCACATCTGGTACTACATCACAGCGGGCACTACCACTGAACTGAGGTGACAACTGAGGGGCCGCATGAGGAAATAGACTTGGAGGGTGCTGAGGCACCTAGGCAGACCTGTCCCCTGTGTAACCCGTGCGCACGATGTGACAATACCTCATGAATCCTTCATGCATGTGCTGTGCTTGAACAATAGGGCCTATTATACAATGGGAGACCCTATGCAGGCATCTGCTCGTACAGGAGAGCTTCTAGCACATACGTCCTGCCGCGGCTGCAGTGATCCTAATCCCATCAAGGTCTGCAAACATTTATAATCATATTGCAGGTGTCACCCCGTGTTACAAAGCATCCAGGTCTTCAAAGTGATTCGATCCCACAACCGGCACGGTTATGAGACCAGTGCAAGGTACTCAGCGCTCAACCAATCAGCAGACAGCAACCAGGGGGCGGTGTGTCCTGTGTATTGGGGCTGTGCGAGGCCGTTGGCTGACAGTCACGGTGGCCGAGTGGTTAAGGCGTTGGACTCGAAATCCAATGGGGTTTCCCCGCACAGGTTCGAATCCTGTTCGTGACGGCTTCGGTTTTTTGCTTAGTGATAGGATTTTTAATTCTTCCAACATAATTCAAACTGGGAAATGTGACAGATGCACAGAGATGGTGTACTTCCATAGTGTTTGTTGCTGCTACTACATGATTACTAGATTCAAATGAAAAAAATGTCACTGAAGTCTGTATGGGGAATTAAAGTAGACCTAAAGGGCACACTCACACCGAACAGGCTTGAAACGTGTGTTTTTGCACATTTGTCCCGCAACACGCATAGGGCAGCCCGTTAATTTGAATAGGCTGCTTTACACGCAACAATTGCATGAAAGTAGCTCATGAAGCATTTACGGTGTTCTGGTTTGCATTTTTACTCCATTTTCTGGCACGTTTGGTGTACCAGTAACCATTATTATTAGTATTATTATACAGGATTTATATAGCGCCAACAGTTTGCTCAGCGCTGTACAATATAACGGGAGACAATACAGTTCAGTACAAGAGGGAAAGGACGGCCCTGATCCATGGAGCTTACAATCTAGGAGGGCATGACACTACAAGAGCAATGTGCGGTTTTGATTTCAGGAATGTGCATGGAAATACACATTTCTTCATGCGTTTCCAGAATGGACAGGTGTGAGGCAAAACCTTTTTCTGTTTTGGATAGATTACATAGTTACGTAGTTAGTCTGGCTGAAAAAAGACAAAAGTCCATCCAGTTCAACCATTTAAAAAAAAAAAAAAAAAGATTAAAGTGGTAGTAAACTGCGGCCTTTTTTTTTTTCTTTAACTTGCAAGACATTGGCATAATGTGCTAGTACGCATTGCATATTAGCACATTATGAAGTACTTACCTTTGAATGAAGCCTTCCAGCGGCACGCTGTCACTACTAACATGGCTTCCATCGTCTTCCAACTTCTGAGTTGCCGAGCCACGATGATGTTGCTCCCGTGCATGCATGCAGGAGATTCGCCCGCAGCACGGAACTCTGGAAGAACCGCTCAGGTATGCCGTCCCTTCAGACCACATGCACCACTGATGTCACTGGCTTCATGCAGTGTGAATATCTCCTAAACTGCAAGTTTGGAAAATATTCACTGTACCTATAGGTTAGCCTTATTATAGGTTTACATGTAGGTACAAGTTTAAAAAAAAAAAAAATTCTTTACCACATTAACCACTTGCAGACTGCCTTCACAGTTTTACTGCGATAGAGTGGCCCTCTGCACCAGACCGCGTACATGTATGTGATTTGGCATTTTCGGGTAGGGGGCTATCAAAAGCACGCCACTTCATCTGTGCTGTCATTCACTACAGCAAAAGCTGATCAGCAGGACCCAGGCAATGATTTATGGCTAGGACCTGCTGACTGATTTAGCGAATGACAGTTCAGAGCTACAACATAGGGCTCTGAACAGAGAGCAGCAATGAAGCTGTTTTTGTTTTTTTTTAATCTGCAAAGCAGGGAGATAAAACAGTCATATCTAGTACTAAAAGCAGCGCACAGTACACACATTACACTTATTAGGCACACAGTTGACCCTTTGATTGCCCCTGGATGTTTACCCCTTCCCAGCCAGTGTCTAAGTACAGTGGCTGTGTATAGTATCAGCAATGATTACTGTATTGGTGTCACTGGAGATGTCAGTATCATTTTAGGTGTCCTTTTATGAAACTGAGATCAGCGTCAATCCTGAGGATCGTTGCTGATCTCAGATCATTAGTGGTTTAGGAAATAGAGATGATCAGCAGAGAACATGTTCTTTGCTGATCATCTCAGCACAAAGATGGCCAGTGTATGAAGGAGTGATGTCACCCTTCACTGGCGATCTGTGTTCTCCCTCCAGATTCTCCAGCCCAGAGCTGGAGAATTGGGGGAATCGCAAACAAAGCAGAAATAATTTACCGCTGCTTAGTAAACAGTGTTTGACTAATCTCTTACTATAATCTTGCGAGATTATAGTAACAGCAGCCGTTTTCCAGCGTTGAAAGCGTTTGTAGATCACTTCTCCCTTCATTCGTAGAAGCGATCTACACCGCTTCATAAAAAGGCATTCACAGGAGAACTGTGTTCTCCGAGAATGCCGGAAAACTGAGCAGCGGTCATTTACCACTGCATGATAAAAGGACACCTTAGTCAGTTCACAGCCAGTGTCGGTTAGTGTCATTTCCCACTGCACTATTACAGTCCCACTAGAAGTCGCTGATCACTGCCATTCCTAGTGTGTGTGTATATATATTTATATATGTGTGTGTATGTGTGTGTGTATGTATGTATATATATATATATATATATATATATATATATATATATATATATATACAGTTGTGTTCAAAATAATAGCAGTCAGACATCACTAACCTGATCAATCACAGTTTTTAGTAGAAATGATATTTCTACATGGCAAATCATTTACTAGCAGGTGTAGTAGAGTAATAGAAATCCAACAGTCATGACATGCATGCTGCTGATTCTGTGTAATTGAAAGGGGCATGTTCAAAATAATAGCAGTGTGGAGTTCTATTAGTGAGGTCATTCATTCTTTGAAAAACAGGTGGCAATTATTGCCCTTATTTAAGGAAGGAAGGCAGCAAATGTTGTACATGCTGGTTACAGTGCATTTCTCTCTGAAATTCTGAGGAAAATGGGTAGTTCCAGACATTGTTCAGAAGAACAGCGTACCTTGATTAAAAAGTTGATTGGAGAGGGGAAAACATATAAAGAAGTGCAGAAAATGATAGGCTGCTCAGCTAAAATGATCGCAAATGCTTTAAAATGGCAACCAAAACCTGAAAGACGTGGAAGAAAGCTCAAAAACTACCATTTGAATGGATAGAAGAATAGCCAAAATGGCAAGGACTCAGCCAACAATCAGCTCCAGGAAGATCAAAGAAGGTGTAAAGTTACCTGTGAGTACTGTTACAATTAGAAGACGCCTATGTGAAGCCAAGCTATCTGCAAGAAGCCCCCCGCAAAGTCCCACTGTTGAAAAAAGACATGTGCTGAAGAGGTTACAATTTACCAAAGAGCACATTGACTGGCCTAAACAGAAATGGCGCAACATTTTGTGGACTGATGAAAGTAAGATTGTTCTTTTTGGGTCTAGTGGCCGGAGACAGTTTGTCAGACGACCCCCAAACACTGAATTCAAGCCACAGTACACTGTGAAGACAGTGAAGCATGGTAGTGCAAGCATCAAGATCTGTGGATGTTTCTCATACTATGGTGTTTGGCCTATTTATCGCATATCAGGGATCATGGATCAGTTTGAATACATCAGAATACTTGAAGAGGTTATGCTGAAGAGGAAATGCCCTTCAAATGGGTGTTCCAACAAGACAACGACCCCAAACACACCAGTAAACGTGCAACATCTTGGTTCCAGACCAACAAGATTGACGTTATGGAGTGGCCAGCTCAATCCCTGGATCTTAATCCAATAGAAAACTTGTGGGGTGACATCAAAAAAATGCAGTTTCTGAGGCAAAACCAAGCAATAGAGAAGAACTGTGGAATGTAGTCCAATCATCCTGGGCTGGAATACCTGTTCACAGGTGCCAGAAGTTGGTTGACTCCATGCAACACAGATGTACAGCAGTTCTCAGAAACAGTGCTTATACAACTAAATATTCATTAAGTGATTCAAAGGAAAGCAAAATCTTCAAACATTTTTCAGTTTATATAGTGAATGTTTGAGTTTGTAAAGAAGAATACAAACACTGCTATTTTTTTGAACAGTCCAGTATTCACTTTTCTTCCATTTCTTTAGAGGAACAACACACATTTGATATATTTTTCTTCATTTTTTGATTTGGAATAGAATGTGTAGTGTTCCCAATGCAATTGTGTGTATGGAAATAAACGCTATTAGAAGGATTTGGAGCTTTATTCACTTTGCTACAATGTAAAGTAGCAAAGTTCTCTAACACCCACCAGCTCAGTGATGTCGTCATGGGGGAGTGAAAGAGGACTCTCCAGTGGCAAGGCAACCTGTGAAGCTCTGGTGAACTCCATGCCCAAGAGGATTAAGGTAGTGCTGGAAAATAATGGTGGCCACACAAAATATTGACACTTTGGGCTCAGTTTGGACATTATCACTTAGGGGTGTACTCACTTTTCTTGCCAGCGGTTTAGACATTAATATCTGTGTGTTGAGTTACTTTGAAGGAACAACACATTTACACTTTTATACAAGCTGTACACTCACTTTACATTGTAGCAAAGTGTAATTTCTTCAGAGTTGTAACATGAAAAAATAGAATCAAATATTTACAAAAATGTGAGGGGCGTACTCACTTTTGTGAGATGTGTGTATGTGTATATATATACTTTACTTTATACTTTGT